TAGAGGTATTACTTTAAAAAGTTTCATGCTCAAAGAACAGATAAAGCAGGTTGAAAAGCTATCTTGCATACCACAAAGTGGTTATAATGACAAATTTCATCTCCGAACATGACGAAAGAAGTCCTAAACAGTAAAATTCGTGATTTAATTGGATAATCCAATAATTTCAATTTGAAGCAAGCACGGTAAAATTATCACAAATATCGATATTCGTAATGCATACATTATCACACTATGATTAAAGTCATCAATCTCACGTCCGCCTAGGCCAAAGTATATGATAAACAGCATTATCGTGGTTCGATTATCGAATATCTCATTTGACTTTGTCGAAATATGTTATTATAGCAGCGACAATTTTAATTCAAATCTGGGTGTTAATTCTTTGCTCTGAAAATATCTCATGAATTAATGTCCGTTCCACACGAGGAGCCTTTTGCTGACATACGACTGCGTCAGCGACTGCGCATAATTACCTTCGTATCTGATTAGCAAATATAATGACGCAATCGAAATGGCGCCTTGTTTGCCAAGGGTATTTATAAGCACAATACGCGTTACACATCATTTCGATTGCGCCATTATCCACGGCTGCGCTAATCAAAATATGGAGGCAATCATCGAATGTGTCAGTAATTCAACGCACATTTTTTCACCATTCATGTACATACAGTTTGTGTACACTTTCACTGTCACATGGTGCGTCAAAGACCCAGCAAGTCACTGGCGCAGTCCTAACTCACCAAATGCCGTCTCAATGCGTCTGACACTACAGTAGTCCTCCTTGACAAAAGTTAAGTTGCCTATCGCAACAATACACCTAAAATGGTGTTCACTTACGTCATTATAGCTTACAAGCAGAACATGACTGTTCCTAGAAAGCTTGGCCGTTCTATACTTTGGTGATTATTGCCTTTAGTAAGGATAAGGAGGAAAATGTGTTCCAGGTGTGTTCTAAATCTTACTTGCGTCGTGGTATCTTCTAGCAGACGACTACGAGTTAAACGTGACGCATTACCATTGGCGTACTGACGGGGGGGGGGGGGGGGGGGGAGGGGTAGTTGCCCCCCCCCCCCGAAAAAAAATCAAACGTGGTTTATTTCTAATTCGATTCCAGTGATTTACTAGTGTTACTAAATGACATGATTTTCCGGATTTTTATTTCTTTCTGCCCCCCCCCCCCCCCTCCAAGTTTTTGCTCATTACGCCACTGTCCATTATCTAATGAAAGACGCATGAATTATGCATTACCTTGTGACTAATTCCAGGAAAGATGGTTCGTGAATTCGCTCGCTTCATGTGTATCACGGTAATTTAAATAAAGTAACCATTATTCAAGACTAGGATGCATTAGTGAGATTAGGTTATGACGTTTTCATCAATCACCGATCACGAGTCCCCATAGTAATAGCCTCAACGAGAATAAAAACTGTCTGAAGATTCTTCATGGCTTGCCACAGCTTGCCTTGGGTTACGTTATGGATTGTGCGGGCGGTCTACGTAATTACTTTCTTTACCACTTTTAAAGGTACCTAACACTTTAGTTTGGTGGTGAACGTAGTGTAATCCGACTGAGTGTACAAACATTCAATAAAGTTTCCAGAAAATGATTAGGTAAGGTATAGGCCCATTATAATGTTATGTTTCAAAAGTTAAAAGAATCCTAGTTTCATGGCTGTACAAACAAGGAGCTAGTACGTCTCATTATGTAAGCTAGAATAGTTGATTCTTCCACGAAGTTAGGTGTAAAGTCTGTTTCACGTTTCACCCGAAGGCTCATCAATAAATTAGTACTGTCCAGTGTCTTGTATCGCCAAGTACCTCTTATTTTGTTGTAACTCCTATATACTGTACATTCATTTAAGCACATACCTCTTTAGTTTGTCATTTTAGTTCAGTAGTCGTCCATGAGCCTTCGGACGAAACAGACTATATTCATTATAATTTTTGAAAGAATAAACTACTCCAGCTTTCAAAATGTATATATATATATTATATCTACAAAATATGTATAAATTAGTATATTATACCTTCGGCGTAGTATTTTGCCATCTCAAGAACCATTTTCACATCGCATCCGTTTGCCGGATATACATGTACAACGGAAGGCCAGTATACATATAGAATTTACCCGGGGGATACATCAGGAAGGCGCCACAAGGATCACGGACTGCACTGAAACTCAAGTTCGTTTCAAGTTCGTCCAAAAAGAAATACCCGGGAAAAACACTTGAGGATAAATAGAAGAGCTAGATAAATAAGTACCCGTAGAGTTTAACCAAAGGACAGCGATACTACTTTGACATGTCGAGGTTTCCCATCCAAATAGTGAGAAAGTTGATTCTCAAAGACATCGTGCCATTGTTAAACACAAATAAAATATCTCGTTATTATTTTGTAAATTGATATTTGAAGAAAAGAAAGTCTTGGACGTTGCTATCAAAAAAAGTAGCAAAAGCCTTTTCTAACATTTTGCTTGTATATGTTCAGATATTCCAACCAGTTATTAGTATGTATTAATAATGCAAATGCTTGTTACCCGGCCTGCTAACAGTAATTGCTTCCCCAGACTGGCAGTAACTTGAATTCTTATTTAGATTTGTTTTCTCAGAATTGAAAGTAAATGCTTATTTGAAAAAGAGGAAATTCGCTTTAATCACCAAGCTTTGCTCCACTCCTGTTATAGCTTGAGCTTTTACTTTGACATGATGAGAATTTATCAGTCTTTATCTTTGCATCTTAAACTGCCCTAACTCTCATTTTGAAGCTAATCGATAGTTGATATAATTCTTGTCTTCAATTACTACATTAAAAAACCCACATGGATTTTCTCTCTAAGAAAAAGGGTGAAATAAGACGTGACCCCATAGGAGAGTGAATAGGTAGTGAAAATAGAGTTAAAATTCACCCTTATCTTTTTAGAGAGCACATAAACAGATATTCACTCCTAAACAAGTCATCACTGTCGTGACTCTCGGGGGAGTGAAAAAAGAGGACATTCTTTTTTTAATAGAAAGTTATGTAGTGTATGTATTGATACAGTCCATTCCATTTAATACAATGACAACAATTTAATATCCGATCTTTACAAGCACCCCTTAAAGACCCTATCCGATGAAAATACAACTAGATATGAATGGAAAATTGAATTAATATAGAACACAAATATAAAGGATTAAAAAGTATTTACCCTTTCATTATTGCACAAAAGCAAATTAAAACCTCATTTTACGCACCCCTCCAAATTACAGGTCAACAGGTGTCAAATTTGCCGAAGTTACAATGAACATGTGGACCGATCAGTTCACCTAGCTGAAGCGATGAGCCGTGCTTAATAATGCAAAGTCATTGTGAATATGCTTACTCCACCTGTTCTACACATTTTTACATAATAGCAGTGAAGGGATGTTCCTTTATCTACCCGAGGAACTGTATATTTTGTCCTCTTACTTTGTCCGTCATATTCATACAGTTTTAGGCCGACAACTTCCGATTTTCAAAGCTTTAGATTTTGAGCTTTCAGAGAGCTAAAACTCCTCTGACAGACACCAAAAATGACATATAATTGATATTATTATAATCTGTCGCTTATAAGCTTTTCGTTGATAAATAATTCATCCATTCATTTCATTTTTCAGTTCGAATATGGTCTTTCAGCTCTTGTTTTGCTACTACTGAAATATTTGTATATCGCTTACCGTCCATATTAGTGTCTACATTATCTAAATTATTTTGCTACCATGCACAAAATTCGACCATAAGGAAGATAATTATATTAAATTGACAATCGGCTCTCCGTCTCTGATGAGATTCAGCGCAGTTGTAGCCGTGCCTAATCCAATATTCAAACTGCAATATAATAATGAAGTTCGTGCGTGGTTGAATGTATAGCAACGAAAATCGTAGTTCTCCTTGGCAACCCTTTCTATGCAAAGTCCAATCATGCAAAAGCACATTTAAGCATGGAATATTTTTTTATACTTTCACATTATCATGAATAGACAACTTCCTCAATTTCTCACTTCCTCAATGTCTCAGATAGAACATTTTAATTTGCCATGCATAGATTTGGTCTTTGTTGTAGTTTTTGTTCGTGTTTTGCTTTGTTGTTCCCCCCCCTCTCTCTCTCTCTCTCTCTCTCTCTCTCTCTTTCTCTCTCTCTCTCTTTCTCTCCCTCTCTTTCTCCCCCTCCCTTTCTCTCTATTTCCTCCCCTCTCTCGCTATAAAGAATAAATGACAATTATGTATATAACGGCCAATGATTGTACGTTGAAAATTAATCATTTTAGAGTTGAATGTGAAACCATTTAAAAAGTGGTTTCGATGGTTAAAATAATGACAGCGTACGAAACCTACTATGATTGAAAACATAAACGAGGAATTGTGAACTACGAAGAAAATATGATACTTCCGGGTTTTGATAATGAAGGTTCCTCGACTTTCACTAGATTCGCAGTGTAACATGAGATTGAATTCGACATGAATAGCACGTTCAAAGTCCTTCAACTATAATGTATTTGAACTTCAGCAGCAAATGTAAATTGTGCACGACTCGTTTTCACCTTACCTACTGCATGAGTAAACATAACATGTTCCCTACTGGATTGTGATTTTGATATTTTCATATCTGTTCATCTTTTACGATGGATATCCATTATATCTCTATCCTATTTATCAATTTGAAATAATCTGCCATTCGGCCCATTGGCCGCGAATAATATTGTTTAAATATTTTAAGTTGATAAAACATTTTGAATAAATGAATAAACATAACGAGGACTGCATGATGAGTCCAAACGAAATGCTTCACACCTTTATTAAAATACGTTGATGTTGTAGTACTAATGTACTATCGTTGTTATTAAGTTCATATCAAGGTAATACAAGAATTAATTGCAGCATAAGAACGGACAAGATTAATTATATTAAAAGTGTAAGAGGCTCCGTAATCTTGGTTAGAATATGACAAAAATGGCTTCACGATAATGTTATCAACCTACCTTAAGGTTCAATCCAGGTCAGAGCAATAATCCTCAAGTAAGGCACATACCCTCATCGCTAAAAACATTCCACATCGTCAGTAACACTGCCACCGACTTCCCGTATTGCTACCTCGTCGGTTGTGGCGGAAAGCAAATCTAAACACGCTTTATATATAAGTGGGTTGAATTTGCAGACGACGAGCGCGTGTGATCGCGATACATCGCCTGACAGGCAATCGAGCGCGGAAAAAAACCCTGCTTAATGCCATCTGCACGCGAATCATTATGGATAAACTAAACTTTTCTTCGAGTTTAATGTTGCGTCAACACGAATGCATAGTAAGCTAACACACCCTAGTATAATCCTTCTCCGCATTTCCTTTTCCACCCGTCGACAAGATAATTGTTTATACAGCCTGAGGCTGAACCAGCGAGATGATTCATAATTTTTCCGTCCATCGTGTTTTTATTTCGACTTGGGTTTCATAGGATCCGCTGGTCGCTAATTCCTCCATCGGGCTCATCCACGTTTGGGTCACCGTACACTGTCTTGTACTCTCCATGCGATAAACAACAGCCACTTAAATTGAGGCGATGATAAATGGGATAGGGAGATGAGTTTTACTTTACATTAATAGCTTACTGACAATGCATTACTTATTTCATTACGGTTCCGTTTTAAGAAGTAGGCCATGCTGGTATTCATGGATTTCTTGACCTTTCGCTCCAGACCATTTTACTCGATTTGTCCACCAAGGTCATCAATGGTAACTTACATGAAAACCATGATTTGATTGGCTGTTGAGTGGTGTTGCCATGGTAGTTACCATTAATGGCAAAATTATCATCAATGGTAAATTTTATGCAGCGGGGCCCAGTTCCGTAGAATCTATTTAAAGCCTGGGATGCTTTTTATTAAGGTTGTTCTTAAATTTCATTGGAAGGAAGTTCCGTTAGGGAAAATCCTCAACTTGAGAGAACATGGAAAAAACATGCTATGATAATATGAATAGGAGCGAAGAGGATTTTAAGAGGGGTCTTTTTGTTAAGTGAATGCTGGGGGTGCTGTAGGGGGTGCTTTGGGGGAGGGGGGTAAAGTCAATTTAGCCGCAGTGTGACTGTAGATCTATATGATTATAAAGGAACATTTTCTGGTATTAAAATTCTTGTCTCATGACCTTTAGCCGCGGGCCAATGAAGGATCAGTAACTTCCCGATTGATAGTCAGGTGAATAAACCACGGAACCATGATACTTCCATCCTAGCTGCAATGCAATCTCCTCATAGACATTACTCCGTACCTCTGGGGATAGTTTCTTTCCTGTAGAACCTTCAGCAATATTTCATGCGTCCTGAATGAGAAAAAAACATGAAAAAGAGTCGTTTCATTTTCAGCTATCGATACACTCATCGGTCCCTAAACAATGAAATATGTATCTAGTCACGTGACATCATGATGAAAAATATGACTTCGTTTACATCCTTTGGGGAATAATGGTGTCGAATATTGGCATAATATTCCTCTTCACCAGATTTCAGAGAGCTGCGATATCCGAAATGTCATGAGTTTTCTAAAGGTGAGTCTAACGGTGGCGTAGCTACGGGGGGGGGGGACGCACAGGGGACACGTGCCCCAACTTTTTGACTGGTGAAGAAAAAAGAAAGAAAAAAAAAAGCCGGAAAATTAAAAAATGGAAAGGGTGAGACGATCGAAGAAAAGATCTAAATGACATCCCGCACCCCTCAATCAGTAGACTTGTGAATTGACATTGCATTTTTTTCCGATTAAGACTGGTACCCCCCCCCCCCCCCAGGCGCGGATCCACGGGGGGGGGGGGGGGGGGCCGACGGGCCCGGCCCCCCTGGCTTTTTTTTGTTGATGCATACCCCCCCCCTCCCCCCACTGAGCGAGATATTGGTCGGCACGATTTTCACATTTTCGAGGTCAAATACGAGAAGAAAAAAAATTATGATCACTACCCCTACCGATAGAGGATTATGGTAGCCGGTCAAAGCGCGGGGGTCGCATGGGGTGACAGGTGTATTATATAGAATTGCTGAATACTGGATTCGTTGGTTGGAATATACGAATTAAATAGGCCTATCACCAACTTAGATTCCATTTCAAAGAATAGTGCCGACGTTGCCAAGAAACACACCAAGGGACTTTTGTTCCTCGGTGAGTTATATATTTTGGAATATCATTTTAGGAGTATTTTAGCCCCAAACAAGATTGTTTAGGAAAATTTGGACCAATAATTGATAATATTCATCTGTACACTCTTACCTTATCTCTCTTAGTCATGAAAACAGTTATTATGACAATGAAACTACCTCTATATACGCCTTTACTACGGGATAAAAATGTTTATGATATTTTTGAAAACGTTGCTATTTTCACGAAAGTAGTTTAGTCCATATTTCAATCAGCAGTGAGATGTATAACCATTAAAGGCTTGGTTTCAATTTCAGTATATTCTTCTTCTATTTTTCTTCAGTGGTTTCAGACGACGTAAAGACACTGACTGCGGTTTACCCATTCCATCCTTCAACTTAAATGTATTTCAATAAAAAAATACTTATTCCATCTAGAGTATTGATTCTTGAGGAGAGAGACCGATGATCTACTGTAGATGGTGAAATAGTCGGTATGGATTTGGTTGCATCGATGCGAATAATTTTAAGGTCAGTTTTGACAGCTGGAATAGTGAATAATAATCCGCCTTACTCAATCCAAGAGATTTCTGTTTCCTTCCCCATTTTCACAGAATTTCCTTGATTTAAGCCACACCCCTCCTCTCTCTGAACAAGGCAAAAATACGTTGTTTATCGACATTAGCGATATGACCTATACAATTGTCAAATACGCATAGAACATAATGCTGTTTTCAAAGCTGTCTGGTCTGAATTCATGCTCACTGATTTAAAGCGACATCCCAAACGCCATGGAACCGGCAACCCAAATCCACTTTCATTTCGTCACCTAGCAACCGTTTCATCCTTTCATTTATGCAGCATAGAACCAGAAAGAGCAAAGACTTAACTAACCTAAATAGAAAGTGAACAGAGTCTTCTCACTCTCGCCATTTAATGCCATGTAGTCGGGTGCTTTACATTTTCGTCTCTCACTATTAAATCATCTACATAATATTGGGGTACGCTTGCATGAGTGCGCCACTTAGAAGCTATCTAATTTCTGCCGCTGTCTCTTTACCACCCCCCCCCCTCTCTCTCTCTCTCTCTCCCTCTCTCTCTCTTTTCTCTCTCTCTGTCTCTCTGTCTCTCTCCCTCTCTCTATCTTTCTCTCTTCTCCCCCTCTCTCCCCCTCTCTCTCTCTCTCTCTCTCTCCCTCTCTCTATTTTCTCTCTTCTCCCTCTCCCCCCCTCTCTCTCTCTCTCTCTCTCTCTCTCTCTCTCTCTCTCTCGCATAGTCCCCTAAATCTTTTTATCGCTCCTCTCTCACTCTGTAAAAACTTGTACACTTAGCATGCATGTTGAGTTTCAGAGAGCTTTTTATTCGGTAGTCAGATCAAAATTGACGTGAAGAAATGAAAAGGAAAGGAAAAGAGTGAAGCCTTTTAAAAAGAGTCCATTTCCAAGCTCGAGGTAGTGTTAACCATCTACACGATCATCGTTAAAGTGTCCTTGTTGTTTTATACTCTTTAAGTACTAAATAATTTTCGATATCCTCCTATTACCTTGCTTGGTCGTCGGAGAAAAACTGTGTAATAGTATCTCGTTATGACGTCATGACAGTTAAAAAAAAAAATAACAACAACCTTGATTAAAATGATTATCATATACGTATTTGCTGGCTTACTTACATTATAATTACTAATTTTAAGTTATTTTCATTAAAATTTATTTTAAGTTATTTTGCTCGTCTTTCTACCCCTTCTATCTCGTGTTTCACTTTCCTCTCCCTTCACTTCCTCTTCCTTTCCGTTCTAGGACCTTAAAATATAAATCAAATTATCCATGCTTGCTGTTTCATTGGAATACATTATTATGTGTGTACATTTTGTCATCATGTATGTTCACATTGTAAGGTCTATCTTAATTCAACCCTCAGGAAGCTAATGTCGATGATCTTCAGGGAAATAAATGTCATTTTCTATTCAATTCAATTAATGTATATTGCTTATTCATTATGTAGGCCTATACCATAATGGATACATACAAATTGAAGATCCTTTATCAAACTCGTCTTCCGTCCATTTTAAATATTCGAGTGATCGTTTTATTTCTACGGCTGATTTAAGTAGTCTTGAATGGCGAAATACAAATACATGTATTATATCAGAGAAGCTATCGAAGCGTGTACAACACCGATGGAATTATCTTTATATCATTGCAATATTTGTACTGAAGAAAAAACACGGGTGCATGGACATGACGAATCGATAACACGCAAGGTTTCTCAAAATCAAATGCGCCAACGCAGGATCATAATATTTGTCAACCTCCTCTTTCCCTCAATCTCTTTGAAGTCTTCAGTATTTCATTGGCCCTGTGTTTGCTTTGGCATGTAATCCCATATGATAAAATCGATGTGATGTTGTATCCCAGCATGACAAATATCCCTGTCATGCTCTTGATTCAGAATTGTGATTGATAACTTAATTTGCTACAGACCACTTGGGATTTTAAAGGGTCACGTACTTGTGGAAAAAATAATTCGTTGTTCTAGGAAATAACAAATTAGAGGACCGACAAAAAAAGAGCACTTTTATGTTACTTTTGAGACATTCTTTTTCTTTTCTTTTCCCGTTTATTTCTTCTACATCATCATCATAACTGTTACGATCATAATCATCATTATAATTACCATCATCATTCCTTAACCTCATCACTATCCTCAACGATCATTACCGCCACCACTATACCACGCACCATCATCAATCATCATCAATCATCATTACCATTCATATCATCATCATCGTCATCATCATCATCATCACCACCACCTATTCGTCATTTATTTTTTCATTATCATTTTTAGTATCGTCGCATAATTATCATCTTAATATTTCCCCATCCCATTTTGTTCATTTTTTTCTTTGTTTTCTTTTACATCATATTTTTTCGTTCTCGACAAATTATTGCTTCCTTGTCGCTAGTTCATCAGGGATATGTTGTGTTCTTATACAATTTGATAATGACCTATAGACATTAGTAACAAATACCTCTGCATGGTAATTCAGACTTGGGTGGAGAACGCCCCTAAATTTCTTCTGAGCCCCAAACATTCCAACTGCTTCGCGTCGACTGCTTTGCCTTGAAAACATAAATACAAAATGAAAGTTTCTTATTACCAAATGCCCGTTATCTTATTGAATATAATATTTATACTGCCTGGACAAGAAAAGAAGATGAAAAAACGAAATTGTATTTCCTGATCTACGGTTTTACTACACAAAAATTATGACTTGTCCCTCGATCCATATTAATTTAAACATTCAAGTGCATGGCTGAAGTCGTGACTCAGTTTCCTCGATGGCTTTATAGAAAAAATGAACATCGAATAAGACAATTGTTATGTTATCTCGGAAAAGGTAGATCGCAATCTGAAACGAAGTCTGCTGGATATTTTCTTCCCCTTTATTTCCAAGCATTGTTTTAATTGTATTGGTCAAAGTTCAAAATGAAAAAATGGCCCTTGTCCCTTGTTTGCTTAATGCTGAAAAAAAGTACTCGACCAAAATCATAGACATTTAAATGATACACTGATGATTGACAATTAAATGAAAGTAACCGTCTTATGTTCTGTTAATTTAGTTAATGGGTTACTAGAATCATGAAAAAACAGCTCCATGGGAAAACAGATCAGTTAATCCATCTGTTTGGGGTCATAAGTGCATTATATCATATCATTTTACACGGAGATAATACCTCTTTGGGCTCTATACAGATGAAGTGTTAACAATAAGGATAGAACCTTACGGAAAAACATCAACAAATAAACAAACAAACAAACATACGTACAAAATGATCAATGAATGAGTCAGATATAGAAAATTCTGTTAACCGTGAATTGATTGAAATAGCTATTTTGATGGGCTGGTAATAAGATTTCAAAATGTAAAACATTCCAAGAGTGAGGATTTCAGAAATAATTATTTGAATAACTACGCCTATTTGGTTATTTTGCTTATGAAGTTTATAGGCAAACATGAATGATAATAAAATAATAATTTGATTTTCACATTGGAATATCAAGTATGGTTTACCCTTTGGATATGAGCCATTTCTATACTAGAACCGAATTGATGTCTGACAAACCAATAAAGAGTTTCTGAAGAAAATAAAAATCATGTTTGATGTAGGCCTATAGATAATAGAAAATAAAAAAATATAGGCGGTGAATCATCGTAGATGGCAGTACACTCTAGATGGCTCTGCAGATCTGGAGAACATCAGTATTTAGAATTAATTTTCTCAATTATTTTTGAACATTTATAATGTTATTAAATGGCAAAACCATGAAGGCAAGTGTATTCCATGACCCCCCCCCCCCCCAATTTTCCAAAGTCGATAAAGTTCCCTGTGATAAAAAAAATGCCCTTTCCAACAAAAACCAAAAAGTCCTATCACAATGGGATTATTCCCATACTGAGGTAAAAATGTGACTCTTTTCCATTTCAGTGGTTGGTCCTTAGTTTATAATTATCCATGAAAAAAGGAGGAGCCCTTTCCATATTAAAAGTACTTTTATTTCCTTGCAATTTCTTTCGTGGCTTCCCCTCCCCCTCCATCAACAGACGGTACCCGGATAAGAAACCAACATTGTTTATAGACGACGTCGTACGTAGGCTACCCCTTCCCCCTCCATAATGTAAAGAATCCATCATACACATTTTTGACCATGGCTAATAAAGGGATTCTCTCAGTTGCCACACGAGTCGAAATAGATCAGTAACGGAAAGTAAATGTTGAATAATACGCATACAGGGTTAGAGGTAAAGGGGCAGTCTTCAATCTCAGATCTCTGGACAGTCATACCCATCGTAGGTTGGGTCCAATATAAGCAGAATGTGTTTTACTAGAAGGGAACGGTCATGAAAGGAGGGGGGGGGGGGTTAGTGAGCACATTTTTTTTGGTCCTTTTGTGCACCCCCCTTGGGCGCCATGCAGGGGGGGGGGGGCCCAACCCCCCAAAAAGGTAAAAATCACGTGTTTTTACATGATTTTTTTCTCAAGGGGGGGGGGGGGGTGGTGGCCTGCATCCACCACTGGCTGTTTCTCCTCCTCCTTGGCCTCTTCCTCCTCCAACTTCTACTCCGGGGGGGGGGGGGGGGGGGGGGGTGCTCAGATTTGGCTTGGATGGGGGCGTGCCGCTCAAGCCTCGAAACCCAATTTTTATGGGTCATTTGGGGGGATATTTCTCGAAATAAAAGACCCATGTTTAGGCATTTTTTTGTGAAAAACTGACACATTAGAGCGGCACACCCCCGTATGTCTTGATATAATGTGAGTATCCCCCTTCCCCGGCTTCTACTAAAAGGCTGAACACAATGATTTCTTGACTCTAGTCTAGTATAGTACGCCTATATTACATCACTTTTCTTGTATATTTTGTCCTTTTTGCCACGCCTCTCCCTCTCTCCAGGCTCCTTTTTTTCTCTCTTTCTTTCTCTCTTTAGCTGAGTGATGAATGAAGGAATATTGATTTTTCCCGACATCAATACCTATACTTCGCCCTTTTCGGATATTAGTCGAGAGTGAGTTATTAGATGAGATAAGATAAGATAAGATATTTATTCGTCTTTCTTTCAAATGTCACATAGAGCATAACATTATCATTACACATTTACAATGCAAAAAAAAAAAAAAATTATGGCAATGATAAAAACTAAGTGAACTACAAGAAAGACGAGTTATAAAGACGAGGAAATATGCTCTCAAACTTTCATGGGTTAACTTTATTAAGCTTACTTTATTTAGATTTGTTATTCAACCAATCAATCAATCAATTGACATATAAATCTATAGAGAATTATAGATCTCTATATGGTTATTGAACATCACCAACACCATACACTACCCTTGGATTCATCTGCTCATTTCAATTTTGTGTAAGCTTTTCTTTTTTTCTAAGTTTACAGAAATATTTGTTTTTATTTAAATTCAGTTTATTAATTATAAAAAAGTAAATGAGTGTTCGTTCATTAAATTCTTATAACTGCATTTAAATACATTTTACAATTTAGTTATGTTTCTTTTCTAACTATTAATTAATGCAAGAGTAAATTCTATAAAATAATATTTTTGCTTGAAAATAGACTAACTTTACGGCACACGCGCGAGATCATTGTTCAGCGCACGAATTGTATGAAAACTTTAGCTTGTTTGATCTGCGATTTTGTCAATGGCGTCCAACGCATATTTGGATCGTTTTTAAGCCGTCAATCTTGCCGTAATTTATGCTTAGTCTGTTGATCTCTTGGAGATTTGGCCAAACTTTACATTAACAGGAATGTATACTGGCTTTTAAATATTATAAATGGACAACTCAGGTATGAATTAGGAGGTTTATACCTCTCTTTTCGGCTTTTACTTTTGTCACCGAAAACTCCACTGACTGTCTCCGGTAACAAAGCCCTTCGCAGAGTCCGCGTCCATTCACTGATTGAGTCGGGAGACTTCCGCAGCTTCGTTGGGGGATAAAGCGGACGCTTGGAGCTGGAGCTTGGGCCTGCGCTTGAGCTTGCACTTTTGATCCTGACCAACTGGTTTGAACTATTTTAGGGGAAAAGCAGTTTTTCTCTGTACAAGGATGGCGGATGAAGGTGGATCTCTTGACCTGAAATGGGTGGTATGTATTCATATTGCATTGCAATGTTATGTTAGAATGTTTATTCAGAGATTTAGACCTGATTCATATTTGTTTATACTACTAGACCTACTAGGCCCTAGCCTAATAGTAATATAAAATTAAAATTTGTTGCACTTCAGGATTAATTTGTTGTTGTTTTAGTTTTATAGTATGTTTCATTCAATTATGAATATTCATGCCAAATTCAATTCGCATTTAAAGAGGCAGAAAAAAATATACTCTGCTCAATTTTCCGCAATTTGTGGAGAATCTTGACAGGCTGTCTATAAAATCGTTGGTTGTTTTTTATGTATTTTCTGGCCAGCCCTTCTCACTAGATTGAACAGACTTTTTGGCTTGCACATGCAATGTCTGTAAGTGGGAATGTCTCCTTTCTGGGAAAGACAAAACAAAAAAACAAGAATAAAATTGAAAGTTTTAAACTGATAATGAAGTTTCAAAATCTCAAATTAGATCTATGCGGACATTCTGGGCTTTGTGCAAGGTGCAGTTAGTTATGGGATATACTTTTCCTTAATATTAATAAAGTACAATACGTTACATTACATATGACCAAAGGCTAGCTGGGTCTAAGATTTTATCTTGTTATATGTTTGTAAATAGATGCAAAATGGGCAAAAATGGGCAAAAACAGTTTTACTCTACATGTATTAAGTTGTGGATGAGACACAATAGGTGGTACAGACAGTACACTTTAATTTATTACACTAAGACAATTTTCTAGGATTGCATGTTGCAGGTTGCTCAACAGAAGTCTTTTTAAGTGTTCAAATTATTTGACATGTGTGTTTCTTCTTTTGTAGGTCAGTAAATGATGAGCCTTAAGCTTAAGGGCTAGATGATAATGTAAAATATGATATTGATATCACCTTAATTGGCACCCATAGCTCTGCATGAAGAGGCAGGTACACAAAACCTAAAATGTGTTCGAAATCACCCCTTCCCGCTACCCACGAACAATGCAGTGGCTTCGAAGCTCACTAGTGGTCTCTTCTTTTTTTATTCTTTTCATAAAAAGCACTTTGAAATCTGTCAAGAAATGAAAGATTTTGCAACTGGAGTAATAGCGATTTGCTTATCTTTCACTTGTTCCTGATGATAATTGGTAAAGGTTCGATTTACATTACAAAAACGCTGACCTCTTACCAGTGTCATCTTATTTTCACTTTTTTAAGACCTTGTTTGATAAGGAGAAGGAGAAGGCGAAAGCTGCTAAGAAAGAAGCTGCAAAGAAAAGGCCCTTAAATGATGACATCGCGGATCTTCCAGAGATGGGTGGTGGAGATGGGAAGCCAGGTGGGAAGAAGAAGCTGTCCGTGGAACGCATCTATCAGAAGAAGAGTCAGTTGGAACATATCCTAATCCGTCCAGATACCTATATTGGGTCTACAGAACCATTTACAGAAGTGAGTAATACATTGTTAAAACTGTAGAAAATTGTGAAGGCCTAAGCTATCTAGTAGAAGTACAATATTTAAAAAAAAAAAGTTATTGCACAACTGCATGTGTAATTTTGTTCATGCTTGCTGTGGGACTATTGGGGAGTAGGATGATATTTTCATCACTGTTCACTACATTTTCCCTATCTTTTTATCCTTTTCTTGCATACATGCAAATGAATAATACAATTTGTGCTATCTCTGAATATTGTAGCCATATCGTCGCTGTTTTCACGAAGTGACGGTAGTGAAAAAAAAAATTGCATTCACTTTGCGTGACGATTTTCCTCACTACCGTCACTTCGTGAAAATAGGGACGATATGTGTAACAATTTGTGTACTTTGCTCTTTCCTTTATGTCAGAAAAATCTTTTCCAAGAATATTTTCCTTTTTTGAGTACAGAGAATTATATACATGGAGAGGGTATTTGCATTGCAGTTTTATAATTATTTGCACATCAAATCAAAGTTCATAATCATTTGTATGTACACTAACTGCCAATCATATCATTTGTTTGCTTGTTTGATATAGACAATGTGGGTAGTCGATGATGGTGTTATGGTGAACAGAGAAGTGACCTATGTACCAGGCCTCTATAAGATCTTTGATGAAATTCTAGGTGAGTTCACTATCGAATAGTTATTTGTTTAATGATGAAACATAGAATAATAGACTGGTAATTACTACAAAATAAATATTATTCCTGTTTATTTTTATGAGAGGGTTGTAGCTCTGCTTGCACATGTGAAAAACAGAAAGCTGATAGTCAGGAAGGCAACGTCTGCCTGTTGTTGTTCATTAGCTTAAGTCTGATGGAGATCATTGCATTATGTAAGAAATGTAAGATGTAAAGCTGAAGACATTACCCATGCTATTGCCAGAAGCCAACAAACTATACTCAATAGAGCTCGAGCAGTAGTGTCACCGATTGTTCAGTTTTCTAAATTTAGGGCCAGACTGCTCAATTAGTTCTGCCAGTCTTGTGTAGATCTATTAATACAAGATTTTCTGATTTCTTCATTTTGACAGTGAACGCAGCTGATAACAAGCAGAGAGATCCGACCATGAACTGTATCAAAATCACATTGGATAAGTAAGTAATATAATACAAGTAACTCTGTAACATTGCCTCAGATTCTGAAACAAAATCCTGGATTTAGCTCATGCTGCAATCATAATTATAAACCTTTAGGTCAGTCAGGAATCTCATTGACTTTTACAAACCGATCACTTGTCTGATTATCAAGATATTTATGATTGGAAATTGAAATTTCATTTTTCGTTTTCCAAACGGTTTTGATCATTTTGAAGCGCAATTTTTTTTAGGGCTTCAATATTACACCATATCACAGACAATGAAAAAATGTAGGGCCATGCGTCTCAGATTTAACATTGTTAAACGATGCCTTTAAAACAAGGGATGAAGAAACATGTATTCTTATGCAATTATATTGTGATAAAATGATACCCTTTTTCCTTACCATCTATTCTTAAATTGTTTTAATTCTTAATCTGACAGAGAGCAGAATCTGATCAGTATCTGGAACAATGGGAAAGGTATCCCAGTGGTTGAACACAAGGGAGAGAAGATGTTTGTACCAGAAATGATCTTTGGTCATCTCCTCACCTCCAGTAACTACAATGACGATGAGAAGAAAGTCACAGGTAGATTTGTGGAGCTGCTTTTCTTTTCTTTCCTTTGTAGTATTTTAATTTATGAGTGTGTTCACATACATAGAATTCTGCAAAGTTGAACAAACAGAGATTTTCATTTGCACTAAATTCAATAGTTGCCCACCACCAAAGTCTACATCATAGCTACAATGCCATTTTTTTAAAGATGAATAAATTTGCAAAATCTACCAATATTGAAAAAAAAAATTAAAATATGCCATGTATGCAGTTGGGAAAAGTGGTGATGGTTAATCGTGATGTTGATTATGATGAGTAGAGTTTGTGTAGTTTATGAAATTATTCTTTTCAAGATTTTGATAAGATCAAAGTAACAGGTAGGTTTCTACAGTGCTGATACATGCTGAAATTTAGAAAGAAGTTGAAACTTGCAAAAATAGATCTTGATGACAACCTGTTTCTATGTCATCTATTCCTATTTTTCCACAAAAGCTATTTAATTTGTTCAATCAAAATCTTTTTTTTTCTTCGTTTTCTTCAAAAGGCGGTCGAAATGGATATGGAGCTAAACTGTGCAATATCTTCAGCACAAAGTTCACTGTGGTGACAGCTTGTAAAGAATACAAGAAGAAGTTCAAACAGGTAAGAATGCAGAAATTATCTTTATTGTGAGAAGATGGATACAAAAGAAGAATTAAGATTATACATTATGTATCTTACCTTGTCATTCAAAGACTGAATAGGCATATCATTTTACGGTCCTTTTTAATAAGATACATGATTATTATTTCTTCTGATAGTATGGAGAGTGTTGTTCATTCATGACACACTCACTTGCATTGAGGTAATCCAATGATTTCTGCCTTGTGCAGGCCAGGTTTATACTGTTAAAGTGTACATATCTTGACCATAACATGTCATTCTTGTTCTCTTCAGTCATGGCATAACAACATGTCCAAGACGACCTCTCCCAAGATCACTCCGTTTGAAGGAACTGACTTCACAGAGGTGACCTTTAACCCTGACCTGTCAAAGTTCAAGATGACTGAACTTGATGCTGATACCATGGCCCTACTGACCCGCAGGGCGTATGATCTCGCAGGAGGCTCCAAAGGTGTCAAGGTCTTCTTGAATGGAAAGCGTCTTCCTGTAAGTATTCAATATATTCAGATCTTGATAACCGTTGTCCAAGTCACGAACAAAACTCAGTCCTCAAAGGCTTTATGTCTTCCTCTGTCTCGATGTTGCTAGTATATTGCCTTGTGAATAAAAACAATTTCTGGAAATGTCAGGTAGTATATGAGAACACAGTTTGTTGGTTATGATACATAATGAGGCATTAGTCTCATACCACCCCCCCCCCCCCCAAAAAAAAAAAAAAAAAAAAAATGCAGGCTATTGTTATATTTTTGTAGTATGTTATAGTACACCAGATATTACTTTGACTAAAACATTGAAAAAATGTAACATATATCTGCAAAAAAAAGTGTCAAAAAAAGAATGAAATGATTCAAATGACTTGACATGAAAACAATGAAGTGGTATGGCACACAATAAGAGCTCCCCCCCCCTTTTTTTGCTGGACTTGGGGTTAACCCGCTAGCTTTCTATACATATATATGTATATAGTCACATATCTTGACCTTAAAGAGAGACAATGTATTTGAAATATGTCTTTATTGATGTATTGCAGGTGAATGGCTTCAAATCCTATGTAGACCTCTACATCAAGGATAAAGTAGATGAGACTGGAAATCGATTAAAGCTCGTTCACGAGCAGGTCAATCCTCGCTGGGAGGTGTGCGTCTGTCTGAGTGAGAAAGGCTTTCAACAAGTCAGCTTTGTCAACAGCATTGCCACAACCAAGGTATGTAAAGCCTCATTTCGATATGAAGAGTAAACCACCCTCAAAACTGCCAAATAAAATGACATAAGTTCAAAACGCTTCACAATACTCCATCTATAATATATGTAGATAGATAAATATGCTTAGCTGACTCTGTTATGTGCAGAAACTCCATTTTTATCCCCACTAGTCATTCATTCACAAATCATTTTTATTTTGCTTACCAGATCTTGTGTGAATTAGTCTCTTTTGAAGTAAATTAAATCTGAAGTTCATTTTCATAATTTTTTCTCCAATTTACAACCAAGATATTCTTTTTGAGGGAATTCTTAAATGAATGCAACTCACATGTAGCAGCCAAGCAATTCTAGGCTCTTGTTTAATGGTAGATTTGAAATGTCCATTGTAAAAGGAACTTAAAGTCGATTGGAAGTGGCTTTTGTTTAATTTATTTATGTAAATGATGCATCCTGCACTCCTTCAAATGTGTTTTATTGATTGTTGTTTTGTTTCACTTTTTCAATGCTGTCATTTGTTATCTAGGGTGGACGTCATGTAGACTACGTATCAGATCAGATAGTGAATCAAATCATCCAGACAGTGAAGAAGAAGAACAAAGCAGGAATCAACATCAAACCTTTCCAGGTATGAAGATCACTACCCTCCCCCACCTCTCCTCCTTCCCACTCTCTTCATTTTTTTTTTTTAACTCGCCCTATATATCTTATCATTTTCCATGTGATACCTTCATCTCCCGCTTCCCAACCCATATTTCTTCTTTTCAATGCTCTTACATTTTGAAGATATCTGTCTTACGGTAAGCCTCAACTCAGGGCTTTTTTTTCTGTTTTGATTTTGGTGTGGTTTGGGTGTAGGATGAGTTCTTGGTCCAGGGCTAAAGTTTTGAATTTGGTTAATGCCTTGATTGACTGTGGAGCAAGTGTCTCTAGAGCAGGTGTTGTAGAACCTTGGAAACACCTTCATATGCTTAGTGCATGGTAGTATCTGGGTAATATACAGACAATGTCACCCTTGTGATCAAGTACAACATATATGCAATAGATACGAGTCTTACCAGACCAATTAGGTGTTGTGGTATAGTGGTTTATGCGCTTGACTCTCATTCCAAGGGTTGAGGGTTCAAATCCCAGCCCAGCACTAATGCCTTTGTTAAGACATTATTCCACAGAGTGGATTTGGCACTATATAAGTTACATTTATTATTATATTATTATGTGCCACTCTCCTACCAGACAATAATTTGGTACCTGTTAGGATGTGATTTAGAGACATGTAAAAACCGAGAATATTTTTTATTATTATTAATATTGTTTTTATTTTTAGGGAAAAGACCACCAACTTACTATATTCTTTTTCCATACGTATGATTCATTCCTGTAGGTCCGTAGTCATATCTGGGTGTTTGTTAACTGCGCGATAGAGAATCCGACCTTTGACTCACAGACCAAGGAGAACATGACCCTCCAGATCAAGAAGTTTGGCTCCACCTGTAAGCTCAGCGAGAAGTTTGTCAAAGCGGTAAGAAAAATATTCTTCTTCTTTCTGTAATTCATTTTGACACTTCACCTCTCTTGATTTTCTCACACATGAACAAAATCTACCAAAGTGGTAAAGACAAATTAGTTTTCCCTTTTTTCCATTTTGCTTTCTTGATAATTTCTCATATGGGTACAAACTTGTAGCCTTGAAACCGTCAGCCTTTTACGGTAGCTATGAAATGGAGTTTGTACATGTTTATATAGAATGCACTATAAAAACATGAGATAATATATCTTGTGATTCAAAGAAAATCTGTTTATAAATGTAATGCTTCCTGGGACAAATTCCTAGATTTTTTCTGACTTGTTTTTCCATACAGATCGATCAATCAATCTTATTTACTGGGTGTAAGCCACAAATATGTTTAAATAATTGAAATTCTGTTTCTTCTTTATTTCAGGCTGCCAACTGTGGGATCGTGGAGAATATCCTGTCATGGATGAAGTTCAAGGCTCAGGTAAAGGGAAAACATTGTCATGTTTGTTCTAACGTTGCTTTTAATCAATCAAAATGAAAAAATAGATGATATTTAAGACCTTGTTATTGTTGTTGATTTTTCTTCTTCACATTTCTCCTGTCTGAGAATAGATTTGTCTCATGTTAATGCTGTTCCATCAGGTAACCTTTATCACAAATCTATTTAGCACATGTTGACTGGTACTACATTGAGGCAAATTAATACAATTTTAACTAAATGTATCTTTAATGTTCTGTCTAGGCACTTAAAATGATTTAGATTTAAAAGGTACATCATGAACGAAGTCAGCCTTTGTGTAGCTCTGCAAAGGTAAGAAAAGGATATTGAGACTTGCCAGTCGTTTTATACATCATACCTGTCTCTATCTAATGAGCTTGCAACCACTCATGTTAATTTGGTACAACTGATTGCATACAGAGTCAACTGGACAAGAAGTGCCACACCTCCAAGCACTCCAAGATCAAGGGTGTCCCCAAGCTAGACGATGCCAACAGTGCAGGGGGCAAGAACTCTTCTGTCTGCACTCTCATCTTGACCGAGGGAGACTCCGCCAAGTCCCTGGCGGTCAGCGGGCTGGGTGTGGTCGGCAGAGACCACTATGGGGTGTTCCCACTCAGGGGAAAGCTGTTAAATGTCAGGGAGGCCTCTCACAAGCAGGTAAGAATTCAAGACATATACCGTAGGATAATTATGTTCTTTTTCCCTGATTCTTTTCTAGATTTTCAGTGTTTTCTGGAAAATGCTTAGTGTTCCATCTGGATTATGGAGTTTCCAAAAATTGTGTGTTCTCAGTCCTTATGCTCTGCGGTGTTGATATGATACAGCAGCTATAATTTTCAGTGTAGTTTTATCTAACCATCATCCAATATATATAACCAAAGCAAGAGTGCTCTTTATGATGATCCTTTAATTCTGTAGTTGAATGTTGATAGCTGTGGGTCTATCTAATCTAGCTATGGTTTGAGCCTTATTGGAAGGATACAAGGTGCACTTATGAACTCACTTGCTGCCATAAAATGGACTTTGTCAATGACTGTTGATTATTATCACAACCACTGTTTGATTAAATAAATGCATCTGTCTGGTTTTCCAGATCATGGAGAATGCCGAGATCAACAACATCATCAAGATCCTTGGTCTCCAATACAAGAACAAGTATGATTCTCCTGAATCCCTCAAGTCACTGCGCTACGGAAGACTGATGATCATGACTGATCAGGATCAAGATGGATCTCACATCAAGGGTCTCCTTATTAACTTCATCCATAGCAACTGGCCTCATCTCCTACAGAGAAACTTCCTGGAAGAATTCATCACTCCCATCGTCAAGGTAGGTTGGTGATACAGTGAAACCTGTCTATAAAGACCACCCAAAGGGGCCAAGACAAGTGGTCTTTATAGGCAGGTGGTCTTTATGTACAGGTTCCTTTAGTACATGTTTGAATGCGAAACATTTTTCAAGGGAAACAAAAAATGTGGTTTTTGTAGACAGGTGGTCTTTCTACACAGGTGGTCACTAAAGCAGGTTTGACTGACTGCAGTATAGATGTTTTGTGTAGGGTAATTATCATCTACTCTGTCTTGGACGTGTTTGCATTAAGCATTTACTTTGTATCTTTTGTGTTTATTTTCTTCTTTCTCCTTCATTGTCTGTGTATTTGTCTTGCTGTCTGTCTCTCTGCCTGCTCCTCAATCTGTTTGTCTATCTATCTGTCTCCCTGTGTCTCTCTCTTTCTCTCTGCCTCCTTCTGACCTTTCACATGTCAACATTAAAATTTATAGAGGAATGCCATCTAAATTTCTACATGTACTGTCACTCTATGATCCTTGTTATCTTTGAACACTGTAAACAGTTGTATGATTAGTTACTCTATAACAGGGAAGACATATAAGAGCAATTATTTCATACTTAACCTCTATACTTCTCCATCCTTTTAAAGGCTATGAATAGTAATGACAGTAGTCATAATAAGGATCGTCAGTGAGATCATATTTTTCATGACAAGGTAGGAAAGTCCAAAAGAGCAGTTTTGAAATATCTTGTGCAAATGCTTGACACAAAATACAAGAACATAATTATTTTTACCCTGGGATTTGCTCATTACTTAAGAAAAATTAAAAGAAACTAATAATTCTGAGCACTTCCTGTTCATCAACTAAATCAAAGAAATCATACAGTTTCATTTTTGCTTGCCAAACTATATATGTGCTTTGATCCTTGACTGCCACTTTGTCAATTCATCATCGGTCATGTAGTCATACAATGAGCTTCTAAAACATAGGAAACAAATTCTAACATTGCATTCAAGGGAAGGGATCATATCATCAGTTGCGTTCATTCTCTTCTCTCTATTGTATGCCCTTAGGCGAGCAAGGCTAATGAGACGACACTGCCCTTCTACTCCCTGCCTGAGTTTGAGAAATGGAAAGACGCAACTGACAATTGGAAAACCTGGAAAGTCAAATACTACAAAGGTTAGTTACTTTTCTTACAGTATTATCATGTAGGGAAGTGATGGTGATGATAACTTATTGTTTTGGATGGTTGTTTTTTAAATCAAAAGTCAGGATAAAATGGATTTAGTTTGCAATAACATTTGAAGGGTGAGTCAAAATCAGTTAAAGTGAGTTTAGCTTATCTTTGAAGTCATGTCCATCGAATGCCTACAAATTGATTGTACTCTTTTCGGCTCAAGATGATAAGTATCTTGTTTTATGAAATCTTTTCCTGAATCCTTTATTACTGAAATATTTCAGGAATATTTCATTTCATTTCATTTATTTTCATATTTCTCCTGTCACATATACATTTCAAAATAAAATACAAGTTATTTTTTGTGTGATAACATAACAATCAATAATACATCATAAATAACATAAAGATAAGTGGTCAATATAGAGTACTGATTTAACTGAGAGAAATATGATAGGACCTACATGAAAGCAAGTTTGTAAAGCTGAATGCCCCCGTGAAATAGTTTGTGGTAATGAATGAATTTTTTTTCCTCTATTCATTTACCATTCTTTGATGATTGGTATAGATGCAGTTTTTTAATGTAATAATTCAAACTTGAATTGCTGAAACGTTCATAGAATTTGTCAACTTTGCTTGAACTTAGTTTTGATACATTTTGCATCTCTACGCCATTTGTTTAGGTTTGGGTACCAGCACAATGAAGGAAGCAAAGGAATACTTCACTGATATGGAGCGTCATCGGATCCCATTCGAGTACACTGGACCAGATGATGATGCTGCAATCGTTCTTGTAAGTCTTCTTTTCATATGACTAGAGATAATTGCATCATTTGTTGGTGGTTTGAAAAAACCTTTTTAGCCTGGGCATTTAAATGTATTATATTTTCTAGTGTGACTTCCTATGCAAAGAGCTTGACATTAACATTGCATAGGAAACAGTTCCAACACAAATATAGAGGGTCTTTTAATATAATTAAACAAAATATTTGTTAAAGATTGGAGGTCAGTGTGAAATTTTGCTAGTCACTTCTCTATGAACTCTTTTGATGTTGAGCTATCGATAGATGCACACAAGGTTCCTATGGTTTCTTATCAGCAGCATCAAAATCCTGTGAATCTCATACACATTGTGTGCATAGATGTCACCCATTGAAAGGCCAGGCTTAATTATATGCTGACAGAAATCATGTACGTCAGGATGCAATGAAATCCTATGATTTTCGGTCTTTGTGTTTGCTTAAATTTGGTAGGCTATTACTTTTCTTGGGTGATTTGATTTGTATGCTGTATAGGCATTCAGTGAACAGAAATTGGAAGATCTATGTAAAGTAATTGGTTGAACTGATATTGTATCCTTGTATTGCTCCAACAGGCTTTCAGTAAGAAGAAGGTGGAGGATCGTAAGGTGTGGCTGAGTGAATGGCTGGAGGAAAGGAGGAGCAGAAAAGAAACCGGACTTGGGGAGGTAGGATAATTACTGCTATATGTTATGCAGTGTCTTGGAAATTTTCCTTTTACTCACAGATAAATGAGTTGATTTGAAAGTTGATGATAATCCAAGCTAGATCTATTTGCTTCATAAAATTCAGAGGGTGGTTGTATCTCCTCAGAAATGAAAGCTCATTTCTAATCATTTCATGTAGATTATCTTCTTTCTTTTTGGGGGTGTTAGGGGCTTTAGAAGAAAAGCCATAAATTAATTATATATTTTTAAATTTAAAAAAATGTTAAATTCAGAATCGTTTGATGTATTGTGTTTCATAAACTTTTCTCACAATAAATTATTTGTGAAAGTCCTATTTAAATGTAGTGGCACTACAAGGGTTAAACAGAAACCTGTCATCTTGTGTGTTGCATGATTTGTTTTCTAATGAAGTAGGAATAATTTTAGTGTTGATATGAAGATAAAAGAGAATCTGGCCTCACCAGATGGATGCTAAAGACTCTGAATAAAGGCCATCAAGCAAATGAAAGGATGATGATGATGATGGGGATTATGATGATGAACAAAATTACTATTTTTATCTTGCTACAGCGCTACCTTTACCAGAAGGATACCAAGAAAGTCAGTTACAATGAATTCATCAACAAAGAGCTGGTTCTCTTCTCGAATGCTGACAATGAGAGATCCATCCCATCCATGGTTGATGGTAAGTGAAGTGCTCTCAATCTCCTCTGCCTCTGATACTCATCTTTTCACCTTTATTGTGCAAAAAATAGAGGGAAAAGCTTAATAAGTCCAGGCTACTTGTTTTAAAGAACAATGTATAGGACTGCGTAAACTGTGCAATGTAAAAAAATTACATTGAACATAAAATGAAGTGCAACAAAATGAGGATAAATTTAATTCAGTGTTATACTTTTGCACAATCTGATTTAGCAGTTTGATGTTTTATGCAAGATAGCAATGAGTATTCATGTACCGGCTTTTTGTTCCTCTAATGTGATTGTATTTGATTTTAGGTTTGAAGCCTGGTCAGCGTAAGGTGCTGTTCACATGCTTCAAGAAGTATGAGAAAAAAGAGATCAAGGTGGCTCAGATGGCTGGTGCTGTGTCTGAACTCTCGGCCTACCATCACGGGGAGGTAAGATAGCACTTTCTTGAGTCTTGATCAAATACTCATTCATCCTTTCAAATCCACCCTAGATACTGTAGTATCAATGGAAGCAATATAATAGGCCTTTACTGGACAATATGTAATAGGTCTTGCAATAGGCATAACAAATGGAATGAGTAGTTGTTCTGATTGATAAAAAGCAGTATTTTCATCTGTTCATGCACATAATTAATTATTATTACCATTTTAGAAAGTATTGGTAGGCTGAAATGAGACTTAAGAAATGTTGTGTTACTAAAAAAGTGTCATATTGAAAAAAATGGATAGAATATATGCATCAGAGTCGAAAATATTCCCACTATCAGTCTGTATTGGATCATCCAAAAGCCATTGGGCACTTATGTATTAAATGCATCAGATGCATGGTACATATCGAATGATTCCTTTAATTTGATAAAAAAGGAAAGTGTAGCAGACTTCAACTCAGTTTTATTTCAACTTTCAGCAATCTCTGATGAGCACTATCATCAACCTGGCCCAGAACTTTGTTGGTAGCAACAACCTGAATCTCCTGCAGCCCATTGGTCAGTTTGGTACCAGGCTTCATGGAGGCAAGGACGCTGCCAGTGCTCGTTACATCTTTACTCAGCTCAGGTGTGTATGTGTGGCAAAGCAAGTATATACAGTCAAACCTGTCTATAGTGACCACCCAAGGGAAAGACAGAAAGTGGTCTTTGTAGACAGGTTCCTTTAGTACATGTTTTAATGAGAAATCTTTTTCTAGGGAAACAAAAAAATGTGGTCTTTGTAGACAGATGTTCTTTATATACAGGTTCCTTTAGTACATGTTTTAATGAAAAACCATTTTCAAGGGAAACAAAAAAATGTGGTCTTCGTAGACAGGTGGTCACTAAAGCAGGTTTGACTGTATGTAAACAAATGTGAAAGAAAGATTGGATCCTTGAGTAAAAAAAAGTCTTATTTTATTTATCCTCCCATCTCGTGGCTGGTTGGAAGAAAAAAATTGTTTCATAAAGCTTGCATAGAACCACATGTCAGTATGACCAAGGAAAGCCATGTCTGATAATTGAAGGACTTTTGAATCAACATCAGAGATTAACCTTGTAGTTATTGTAAGCAAATTTAATTTCAACCGTTGGGTTAGAGTCTATATTTTCAACTTCAGTAATGGTAAAATATATTGAGATCATCTTCCTCTTCTCCTCTCCTGATTTTTCCACCCAAATTTCTTTTTATAGAAAAGACATAACAGCAGGTTTGTTTTGAAACTCTTGCGTTTCTAAGAGATCAAAAGTTACATCAAGAATGGCAGAATGTTCATAGAACTATTCAGGCCCTTTAACAATGATGTGGTGTAGCTATATTAACATTCTCTCTCTCCATCTTTGTTTTTAATCAGCCCCTTGGCAAGGCTTGTTTTCCCTCACCATGACGACCCCCTCCTGTCCTACATGTACGATGACAACCAGCGTATCGAGCCAGAGTTCTACGCCCCCATCATTCCCATGGTACTCATCAACGGCAGCGAGGGTATCGGTACGGGATGGAGCACCAGAATATGTAACTATGATATCAGAGAGGTGGTGGCCAATGTGAGACGACTCCTGGCTGGAGAGGAACCTGTTCCAATGGTGAGTGGATTTTCTTGAGATTGTAATGAATGAAATGATGGAATATCATTGAACAAAGGCAAAATGTAACTCTTTGTCTTGCCATAGAGAATTACAAAATATACCGGAAAGCGCAAACATAACACTACAAGTGGAACTAAAGGGAAAAAGTATGCAAAAATGAGTTTTGATTGGCTTCTAAACAAAAGATTTATTCAGTGTTTTCTGATTTAAAATTTTTGAAGTCAAACATACCTTTAGAAATCGAGATGAATTTGATTGATTGATTGCTGAATATTCAAGTAAATGCTCTAGTCAATATTCTGTTGTCAAAATCCAGCTTTCAATTTTATGAATTCAGTATGAACAAGATGTCATGCTGCAAATATAATGCATAAAATATTTATTTCCCTACTTATTTGTATTTGTATTGCTTCCCATTGAATCTTACATGTGATTGTCCTCTGTCTTCTCCAGCTTCCATCCTACAAGAACTTCAAAGGGACCATCGAGGAGTTTGAGCCCAATCGTTTCGCCGTCAACGGAGAGATCTCGGTGGTGGACGACAACTCGGTAGAGATCACAGAACTCCCCATCAGGGTCTGGACTCAGAACTACAAGGAATCAGTCCTAGAGAACATGGTCTATGGGACAGATAAGGTCAAGCCATCTATCTCGTAAGTTGTCCATAAAATAGAGCCAATCATAATCACCTTAAGGATTCTTATTTGATTGCATCAACTTTCCAGCGGTCATGTCGGTGGGCTTAGCTAATGTGGAATTTAAAAAAGTTGCTTCTGCACAGAACAAAAAGCCGTAAGTGTATTTACTTTCACGTGTATCATAGGATACAGACAGGGGAAGTATATGACACATAATTCATTTTATTTTGCTGTTTTCTTGATGTAAGTGAGAACCTTTTATAGATCGCTTCCGCTGCAATGCATGATGAAAAATAAATATAAAATCTTATTCATTTATTTCGTTTCATTTCAACAGGGTAGCCCCATCAGTAGTTTAAATCTTGTTTACTGTTGCACGCATTGAGCATGTTAAGATGTCATTCTTCCATTTTGTTAATCTGTAACCCAATTGTTAGTCTGTTTACACCTTCCTGCATTCAGCCCAGTTTATATATGAGCCTTATCATTCCATGACTTATAATAATAATAATAATATGTCTTGTTTACCAAGGGTAGCCTCATCAGTATTCATACTGTTCTCCCTGAGGGCCCTGCAATCATATTATTACCCTGGTCATCGGATTCAGGCTTACCAGTGTTTTCCATGCCTTGGACAACATTTATCTACTTCCAAATTGTCTTCCTTTCATCCTGTAATTCACTTAGTACTCATGTATCTTGGAAATCTATGACTAATATTTATTATTTGTTTTACTTAATTGTCCAGGGACTACAAGGAGTATCATACAGACACCACAGTGAAGTTTGTAGTGAAGATGAACGAGGATCGACTGCTACGAGGAGAAGAAGAAGGTCTTCATAAGATGTTCAAGCTACAGACAACATTCTCTCAGGCTAACCTCATGGTATGGGCTCTTTTAACTTTTACAGTGATATGTTAACCTTCTGTATCATATCCCAGGGGGGTAGTTGACTGGGGGTGGATGTCCAGGGGGTAGGTGTCTGGATACGGTTGACCACTTCAAGAAATTACTCAAGTCACATCTATTCTGCTAGAAATTACTTTATTACCAGCCTACATATACTTAAATGATCTCTGAAAAGTGACTTCTTTTGTTTATAAGTGGCCCAAACATTGTGGAGCGGTGTGTGCAGCGCTTTGTAACTGCAAGGAAAAGGCGCTACATCAAATATCTTTTGATTTGGATTGGAAAGTGTACCTGCAGCAACGTACATTATCTAGCTCTTCCTTCATGTTAGCCTGAATCTTCTAAGATTTCCGTGTACATGTAGATAACCAGACATTTATAGACTTGAACATTTTTCAAATGAATGATATTGTGCATGACATTTTGTGATTTTGTAAGGGGTGTGGTACTTTGTGTTTTTAGCGCTCCTAATAAAAAGATATTATTTTTATTATAAGATGGGCAAGAGAAAAACATCTCAACTTATCCTGGATTTTGTTTTTATCTGAGTGTAATACCTGCATAACAATTTCATACCTGATACGGCATTGACATGGTTCTGAAATCTTGTTTCCTGGTTCTCATACCACTCCCTAATTATTGCAACTTTTTTAATATGAGGAATTTAGTGTGATAGCTCAGTTGGTAGAGCAGTGGTCTCGTAATCTGGTGACCCGGGTTCGTAACTAAGTCAATGCGCTAGTGCCCTTTAGTAAGGCATTAATCCTCATTACCAGGTCCCTCGGAGAAGACCTAAAGCCATCGGACGTCTGGTTGCTCACTATCAAGCATTTATGCTTTCTTAGCAATCAGGTAAAATAACCACCACCACCACAATATCTACTTTATCCGTTCAGGTATTGTATGACCGTCATGGCTGCATCAGGCGCTATGACAACGTAGAGGAGATCCTGAGGGAATTCTTCACTTTGCGTATGGAGCTGTATCACAAACGTAAGGCCTATCTTGAAGGTATCTTGGAGGCGGAGTCGAGCAAGCTCAACAACCAGGCTCGATTCATCATGGAGAAGATAGATGGCAAGGTGGTGATAGGTGAGTACACCTCTGGCAAAGGGAACTCTCTTCCAATCTCTTTCAATTTGTAGGCTCCTGTTCACTACTGAATTTTTGTGACTTTAGTCAAGAGGTTAAAGTTCAAATTGCTTGTCTTTAGATGTGATATTTTATCTACAATTGTCTTTTTTAACCTAGGTGTACTTCAATGGTATTTCAGAGGAAGAAATTTCATAAGTAATTTGAAAGCTTATTGGATGTCTCATAGAACTAATTCAATATTATTCAAACTATCCTTATGACCTTGTTCAACAATTCAAGCAGACATCCATGTAGGCATCCAGATGTATGGAATTCTCTACATAACAATAATCAAAATATAAAATCACCCCCCCAAAAAAATTGACTTCACCTCTTTTCTTCTCCACATTACCTTTACAGAGAACAAGTCTAAGAGTTCAATGATCAGTCAGCTGACCTCTCGAGGGTACGACTCTGACCCAGTGAAGGCCTGGAAGGAGGCGCAGCAGAAGTCTGTGGAGGAGGAGGAGGATAGCTTTGATGATGCTGCAAGTGATTCATCCGAAGCTGGTTCAGGACCTGATTATAACTACCTTCTAGGAATGTCCTTGTGGAGTCTCACCAAAGAGAAGAAGAATGATCTTCTCAAGCAGAGAGATGAAAAGGTCGGTTGTACGATAACATAGAATTACTTTTGCAAGTCAGAGCCTGGTATTGATTAGTTCTGTGTTAGAATTCTGTGTTTTACGATGATAGCCCGGAAAAGGGGTTCTTCTGGGGTTGTTGCAATTTTTGGCAGAATAATGGGCTGTTTTTTTAATGGGGTTCTATTTTGAAAGTTTGCTTGACTTATTATTTTACATGCAGAAGTTTAGTGATATGTTGGACATGTCAAGAGGCACACTTATTGAGAAACAGTACTATTCATTGAGTGTTCATTTCTCCTTCTAACTAGGCAGCAGAGCTGAGTCTCTTGAGAAGAAAGACTGCCAGTATGCTGTGGACTGATGATCTGAATGCTTTCATGGCAGAGCTCGATGTAAGTCAATAAACTGAGTCCAATCCCAGCCCCTATGAATGCACACTGAATGAACATTTGTGCTGTAATATGATGTTATAATATTTATATTACTCACCGTTGTAGTGGGATGGAGGATAAGTAATTCACATGTTTTTCCCAGATTCCCCATTTGAACACGTTCAGCTACCCATAGTACTTCATAGAGAGTATTTTGGACTCCGATGAACTCCGTTGCTCAGACAAGAGTTAACAGCTTTATAGTCTTTCATTATTGCTTATTTTATTTATGTTCATTTTTATGCTGGGCAATGCATTCGCGCCTCCATTGTTTTATTTTGTTTTTGATGGCATAAGAATTAGAGTAGGGCAATAACAAATTTGAATATAGTAATGAATGAGTCCACTGGAATCACAATGAATTTAAATCTAGAATGTATCATTTCTTTTGATTGCCTTTACTTTGTCATAATATTAGCATACTCCTTTGTCAGTATCTTCAGAATGTCATTTTATCATCTGTTGAGAGCCAGAAGCACATTATACTTTTACATACAGTTATGCCCTTCTGGCTTTGACAGATGTTATATGTATTATTAAACTTTATTGAAACTAAATCAATATTTTGTTTCACAAAACAGAAGGATAAAGGATGTAAAATATGTACATGCATTTTGAATGATGGAGAATAATGCAAAACTTGAATATTATTGATAAAGAATTATTATTTTTGATGGTCATCAGAGGGTGGAGGCTCAAGAGAGGGAAGATGAATCATCAGGATTGACCGGTGTCTCATCCAAGATGACCAAGGGTAAAGGAAGTAAGATAACCAAACCACGCAAGCAGAAGCTCCTCACAAGAGAAGAGACCAAGCCCTCACCGTATGGACGACGTGTAGCCCCACGTATAGACAACCTCATCAAGAAGGCAACTGGTGATGGCAAGAGAGGACGGGTAGGTTTTTGAAAATTTGGAGGCTTGTTCCCACATGCCTCTGCCCTTTAATGACAATCAGTAGTTATGTGTGATTTTGTTGTTTCATTATTGTAAAACGCATTGTTATTTTCTCTGAAGATCAAATGCGCTATAGAAGCCTAGGTTATTATTATTACAACTTCATATATGAATCTGATCTTTCTCATGAGAAAAGGTAATGCCGAGAGAATAATATTTTATCGCTTTTGCTTACCCCTAAATGGTATTATATTTTGCCTCTGGCATTTTGTAAAAAGGTTGGCAACATCACATGAATTCAAATATTTTTATTTAAAAGATTTTTTTTCTTTCTCCTAAATTTGGGCATATGTAGAATAATTTTTGGAAAGATGATACATATATATCCAATTGAGCATCCGTGTATAGCTATTTATATTCATAATTCTAATACATTATCAAAATATTGGTACCTTCTCATCGAACATTCATGGGTTTCTTGTAGTGGTTTGTCATTTACTTTATTTATCACTTATGGTAAAATTACACAATTTTCATTTAATTACATGCATCATAATATTTCTACTGATGACTTTTCATTTGCCCATAGTGCATTGTCATTTATACATTTTGAACAAAAGTGTTCAATGTAGAGGTAAGATAATTACACCTTTCAGGACCAAGAAGTCCTGAAAGTAGAAGGTAAAGTAGAAGAAGAAGTAGAAGGTGACTCTGGCTTCTTGTCATAATTCATTCTTTGTCATATCTCTTTCCTATCGTTGATTCCAGAAACCCAAAGACTTGGACATAAAGATGGAGGAAGGATCTGAGCTCTCGGGACTCATGGAGGATGACAAGGATTCAGTCGCACTCTCGGACAAACCAGCTGGAGCCAAGCCTAAAACAAAGACTGGTATGCTTTCTCACAGCCTGGCTGGCTATATGCCACATAGAGCCATGCACATTTGTAGTAGAGAGATATTGTCACTTTCATCCAGCCCTAATTGTCTAGACTTAATCTCCAGCCATTCTGTTAATGTAGGACATCATAACAAATTCTCAAATTTCAGGATTCAAGTAGCCAGCTCAGATCTTAATGTATGTAGATTTAAGATACAGCCATGTAGCAAAGCTGACTGGTTGTATACACTGTATAGTCAAGAGAGCAGGAAGGCTCAGTCCATGTTTAATCAGTCTACATTCACAGAAAGTAAACACCTGTGTGTGTGTCATAAGAATGGACTTTCATTCCAATTTTCCACTACCAGTCATCATTTTAACTGTATAGGTGTAGGAGCTTTGGGTTCGAGAATAAATAGGTTACTTGGAAATCACCTTATAAGTAGTTTACCTTGGTCTATGTCTTCATCTGGACATGCATTGCAAGCATATTGCCCCAAACCCGTCTTCAACCAATCTGCTAGCCATTGGAAACATTGCAAATTGATATGCAGATTTCAAACTGTAATTAGGGCTATTCCAAAATAATCCATATACTGTTAAGGTCTTTGAAGAATTGATATGGCAATGGCTTCTAGAAAATTATTGTGTTGTATTGTGTGAGATCATCGTTCCTTTCTAGTTGTACATTATTTATATCAGCTACTCTATTTCAGATAAGCTTTTGTGCAATACATTTTGATTTGTAGACATTGATTTTTACATTCAATCTATCAAGTACAGTGAGAGAGAGTATGCCCCAGATACAGGAAATCACAAACAAAGCTATTAATTAAATAGTGTGGCTCATAGCCAATTGAGAGAGTTAATTGTGATACACACACAACAATGTGATAAAAGGTCGATTCCAAAAAGTTCCTCCCACATACAATCTCTATTGGAGGAATCTATTTTGGCCTCCATGAATTGACCTTTGATCATTCACAAGTGTGTATGTGTCACATATAGCTCTCTCAATACACTATGGTCTGGTTGAATTTGTATATTTCAAAGTCTGAAATTCTCCTCCTTAAATTTTCTTCGACATCATTGCATCGCAAGATGAAGAAGCAAGAACTGGGTACACCAAAATGTTAACAATTGTTTGATATGTTTGCATGATTTCAATGAAATCACAAACTTTCTGATACTCAGTGATACCGTGCCTTAATATGTTGTAACATCTTGAATGTGGTTCAATTAAGTATAGTGTGTGTGACTTTGTCTTCCTTGTGTCAGTACTAGCAGTTACTCAAAACTTCTGAATATTATCTTGAGAATCGAGTATATGGGCAAGTCCAAGTTATTCTGTCCCATATATTACCGACCACATCTCAGATTATAGCATGTCTGATCCTCGTATTAAAGTTAGCAGCGCTACTAGAGCTTAGAACAGACGTGAAATATGAAGTGAAATTGCACATTTAATGTCAAATCGTGTTCAAAATCTACAATATTTGACAACCTGGACCAACAAAAGACTCGATACATTCAACTTGCCCATATCATAGTCATGTACAGAATAGTTAAGTTGTGGACAGTTTGGCTTTATCCTTAAACTCTGTCTTCCTATCATATTGAAAATCTTGACCTAAAGAAAGATGATTTGATTTTTTTTCATGAATGAAGTAGAGATTTATTCTAATTTGAGTTCTAGACCATTTTGCAGCTGATGAATGAAATTATAATTCAGAGAGGAATTTATTTCTTGACAATTATTTATTAAAATCTCCCTGAAATTTTTTTCAAACCAAATTTCTAGTGTAGTGTTTGTTGATTAGTGTCTGTGTATTTATTTTACACTTAGGATATATCAAATGGGCATGCCATTCTTGTCTGATGAATTCACACAGACTGCTTGCAATCATATTCAGGTCATGTGTTAAATTTGGATGCACCTTACTGAAATGGGAAGACAACAGGGCCTGTTATAGGATGATTAATTTGTAACATTATTGTTTAATTAAGTGTACTTTGTAATACAGAAAGAAACCTCCTGTCTCACTGATAAAATGACAAAGTATTCTTTTACAATTACTAACAGTTAAGGCAAGGTTTTCATGAACAAAGTGTAGGATGTATAAGTTTTGAAATGACTGAGAAAAAGAAACGAGAAGAATTAAGTTTCCAGACTTCTAACCCACATTCTAATTTAAAACATCTTTCTTTAAAAGATGAGTTATATATTGTACATCAATTAAACAGGTCTAAGATTGTCACAGTATCACAATGCATAAAAGTTCCCCTCTTCAATTAATGATAACCTGATTATTTGCCTTAGAATAAATGTTAGTTGTGAAGTTGTAATATCTTAGTAATTTTTTACCAACCTGTTATATTTCCACCCTTGACAGCACCCAAACCTAGAGTGCCTAAGGAACCAAAGGCCCCTAAAGAGCCCAAGGCCCCTAAAGTACCCAAGGCCCCTAAAGAACCCAAGGCACCCAGGAAACCCAGACAGCCCAAGGCCACTGGGGGCGAGAAGGGTAAGAAGGGGGCCAAGAAACCCAAACGTAACCCCTGGTCCGATACAGAATCAGAAGATGAGCACCTCGATGATGTCACTAGTGGTGATGCTGCCCTGGCTGCTCGACTGGCAGCACAGACGGACAGAGGCCCACGAAGGGCTGCTGGTAAGTGATCCAGTCATGCTTCATGGAATCCATTAGAAAGGGAGGATGGGACAAAAGAATTGTTAAATGAAGTGTCGTACCAGCAAACACTTACAGTGTTATTATTCAGGTCTCTGGATTCTTTAATTTACTGTACTTTACAGTGCACAAACTCTTCTCCACTCCACTGAGGAGCAGTGAAGCTAGCTGTCTTTATGCTAATTCATATGCTATTCATATGCTAATCCAGTTACACCAAGTTCTCATCGTACCGAGTTCCTATTTAGCACATGAGAATAGGTATTTTGTGCCCATTTTGTTCGCAACAGTCTGATAACACATGGTTCCTTGTCTTGCTTACGCCATCCTAGCATCGACCAAGATGAAGTACACCTACAGCGAAGACGAAGAGAGCGATGGGAGCGGTGAATTCGTCATCACCCCTGCTGCCCGCAAAGAGGAAGTCACCTACCATGACGAGGACGATCTCGATGACGACCTCGCCATTTCCCAACCCCAAGAGATGTCCAATGACCTCTCCGACGATGACATGGACAATGGTAGCGACGCCTCCTTTGGAGCACCTCCGCCCAAAGCCAAGAAGAAACCTGCTCCAAAGAAGCCTGCTTCAAAGAAACCGGCTCCAAAGAAACCGGCAGCTAAGACGACGAATGCCAAGAAAACCACCAAACCTGCCAAGTCATCGAAATATGTAGAAAGTGATGATGACGATATCAGTGATATATCGGTAAAAGGTACGTTCACATTTTGTTTGAAAACTGACCAGGAGATGTTGGTTATGCAATTTTTGTCAATGAAGCGCACAAGAAATACAGATCCCTTATGCATTTTGTCAATGAAGTGTATGCGATCCATATGTATTACAACAATTTACACTACTTGATTGCTGTGGATACTTGCAGTAGTTGTCACAAAGAAATATGTGTGATACTGTTATTCTTTTGAATCGTAGACTTATACAAAAAATATAGAAAAAAAACTAGAAAAATAAACGAAACAAAAGGAAACTTATTCAGAGAGGGGCCATGTGTTGATATTCACTTCTTATTTGATTTTTATCCACTCACTGACACAACTTTAAGTAAAGGTGAAAGGTTGCTTACAGTTATCCTATTCTAGATGACTAACATAATAAAACTAATCCTTGCAACATTAATGATGTACAAATATTTATAAACAATATAAATTTAAACGTGTCCTCTTCTGTTAAATTTCTTGGTATCCTTTTGGATGATACTTTATCTTTTCAGGATCATCGATTGTATATAACTAACAAAATATCTAAAAACATTGGTGTTCTTTGTAAATTACGTGTATTTCTGCCTGAAAAAGTATTGTTTATGTTGTATAATTGTTTAATTTTGCCTCACTTACATTACTGTAATATCACCTGGGCCGGTGTGGGAACAACTAAACTAGAACCTCTCCATAAACTTCAAAAGAAAGCTTTAAGAATTTGTACAAACTCCCATTATCAAGCTCATTCACGTCCCCTGTTTTTTCGCTTAAGAACACTCAATATTTATGATATACATAAAATTCAAAGTGCTATTATGATGTATAATGTTTATAATAATTATGTACCTAAAAGAGTTTGTCAAATGTTTATCCTTAATAAATCTGTTCATTCGTATAATACTCGTTCCTGTATCAAATATCATTATCCAAAGGTCTCTACCCAGTTAATGCTTTACTCTTTTAGACATAATGGTCCCCGGATTTGGAATGATTTAACTGATAAGCTAACATTATGCACAACTATATCATCCTTTAAAGTTCTATTGAAGAGACAGTTGGTCTCTTCTTATTTCCCTTAACTCTTTCTTTTTCTTGCAATGTACCATGCATTTGTGCGCGTGTGTGTGTGTGTGTGTGTGTGTGTATCTATAATGTGTAGTATATTATTTATATATTGTTATTATTGTCGTAACGTATACAACCATGTAATCTCGTTATTTATTATTTATGTCAGGGGACTATTTTACTTACAAGTTTTTCAAACTTCCTTTTTAGTCTCCAATTTCTTAATTCCATTATTATAAGATTATGATTGTTTCATGTTACTTTTGTATATATATTATGTTATGGTTTTATGATTGAAATAAATGAACTGAACTGAACTGAACTGAACTAACTTGGTAAATCAACTAACCCATTAGACAAAGTTAGTAATTGTTTTAAAGATAAATCTATGCCATCTGTACTATTCCTTAATTCTTGTTTTCTGTCTTCTTGTTTTCCACCAGATGAGTCGAGTGACCAGATTTCAATCAACAGTGATTCAGATGCTTCTCCAGTACCAAAGACCAAAGCCAAGGCAAAGCCTGCACCCAAGCCTAAAGCAGCTAGAAAAGGTAAACTTAATTCATTTTTTCAATTGAAGCAACAATTGTACCATTGTGTCTAAATTATTATACAGAGTGTAGTCAGTGAAAAATCATTTTCTAAAATTAACTGCTAATAAATTAAATTTTATAATGTTATAAAAATATACTTATTACATGCATGTAATATTGATATTTTACAGTACATGTTTTCATGGCCATCTAATCAACATCTCATAAATTTTCACTAATGTAAACATTTTGCTCACATCCATTTAAATTCATGGTTATTTCATAACATGTGTTTAAATGGGATGCCCACATCTATAGACTTATGACAGTTTTGTGAGACACTGTTCAGCATTTTAGTTATTGGCTTTGCTCTACTTCCCTTTATTTGCTTTTGAATGGCATATTCACACTCGCCCATTTCCTTACATAACAGAAACAAAGACATCGATGAGCAACGCCCTGAAGAAGATGAACGCACCCAAGAGGAAAAAGGAATCTGATTCAGACTCGGACTTTGGTGTGAAGAAGCATGCAGCTAAGAAACGTGAGGACCTATACCATTCTCTAATTAATCTTAGGAGCTGCGCATTGCTAATATATACATTCGTTACTTACCCTTTATTACTACAAGTATTGCTATTACTATACACGTAGAACATAGAGACCACTATGTTATTGATGGGTCTTAGCAGTGTATGTTTGACAGAAGAGAGGGGAATGGATTCTTATTTTGACTAATGTAGAGCTATCTTGTCTTTCATTTTTGTTTCTATTCAAGACATGACATTTTAGGTCTGTTTTTGTTATATATTTCATAAAAAACAAGAAGTAAATTTGATGACATCAAAGATAAACTTTATCTGTATTTTGGACAGATAGTGAACATTTTCCATTGTTGTTCAAGTCTCTTGCCTAGTATCCATTATTTTTAATTTTTGATTTAAAAAAAGAAGAAGTAATAATGCCTCCTTAACGAGTACCTTTAACAATTGCCTTATGCATTTTCTTCTTAATTTTGACAGCTTCTGCCAAGCCCAGTAGCAAGTATATTGACTCTGACTCTGATGATGATTTTGGAATCTCCAAAGCACCACCCAAGAAACTTCCCAAAGCAGAGGTGAGTTCTCTTGAAGCATAGATTTCTTGTTGTTGTGGGCAACGTTGCCTGCAAGTTCCAAGATGTTTTGTTGATTCTTGTTATAGATATTTATTTTACTTGGCTACCATGAAAGCACTTTATGCAACGAGTAGACCTACATATTCAAACCATACTCAAAGGTAATTCAAACGAGGTGGCTAAAATTCCTAGTTTCACAGAACTGCTGTTTCATTAGTAAAACAGGCAATAGGCATTTAACATAACTTGTTTTACGCCGGTGTACTTTATACTTTGACTATGTTGTAGGCGGAGTTGGCCGTTGATTCCACTAGGTTATAATTTTTTTTTTTGTCTGTATGTTAGCCTTTAAATTTTGCATGAAAGGCTGTAGACCAACCATTTATTCAAGATTTGCTTCTGATTACAGCCTAAAAATCAGGCACTAAAGATGACCCATTCCTGGCTGTACGGCTCTGATGAAGAAGACAAAGGCGACGACGTCAAATTCGGCACGAAAAAGACAGGAAACGGTACCGTTAACACTTCAAAAGGAGGTACTGGACGATCCAAAGCCTCAATGAAGTATACATACTCAGACTCAGAAAGTGAGGATTAGTCCAACTACCTTGACTTACATCAATTCACATATGGATTTATGTGATTTAAGCTCACAAGACATATGTGAGATTTTTTATATATTTTTAAGACGTTCTAGTTGCTGAGGCTGCCTAATCTTTTTTTATTTGTCCTTCTTATGCATATGATATCTTCGATACTTCAATTTACTGAAATGTTTCGCTCAAACTCAGTGCAATGAATTATTAGGAACAAGAATTCTGATATTGAGACAAGTCAGGTAGGGCTAGGTGCCCAACTGTATCTATTGAAAGCCCATCAAGGAATGTATGTTTGTTTGTTTTTACACGGAGAGTGATGCATAATACCTAATGATAGGTAGTATTAATTTATTTCATGTAAATGGATAGGAATATCAGATTATCATTATTAATGTACCTTCCATATCCTGCTGGAGGCTTTCCTTAAGTGTGGAGGTGATTAAACCGACAATCAACTAGGATATTTTCCCAGGCTTTTTAATGGTTAAGGAGACAGTCAGATCAAGAATTAGATATTTAAGTTGAATTCTTGATTGACATCAAGTTCAGAGTTTAATAAAAGTGGATTTTTTAAAGAAATTATACCATTCTAACTTCAAAAGAAAGTTGCCAGTCCTGATGCGAAATCAACATTTCTTCATGAAGAGATTGACAAGATTTACAATTAATTGTAGTGATCGTTCTAGGGAACAGTATGGAAAACTTATATTGAAAGCAATTGTCTTTTCCATTTTGTTATTGTCCTTTTCAATTATTCATTGTTTATGTTAACATAATCACATTCTTCACAAACAGTAAGTAGGCCATTACCATCATTTTTGCCATGATTTTGTGATGTAGAATAGGAATGTGTACAATCATGGGAAATTGTTTCTCTCCATCTGTGACCTCTCATTACCTCTCTCTCTCTCTGTCATCTTTCTTTTCTCTTTTATTCCTAGCTCATCTATATCTTATAATTTTGTTTCTTCAAGCACCATTACCATTTTACCAATATGTAAATATTGTACAGATATGTAAATATGACTGTAAAGGTACAATGTGGGTCAAAAAGTATTTGATCGTGATATGACGTTATGCTGTATATAAGCATTTTTACTAAACAGTGGGTCCACAGTGTGCATTCCACCATTTCTTGCCCATTTTACATGAATCAGACATGTAGCTCTTGGATGGAATGATCTTTTTGTATGACATTTTAATGAATATGAAATCCCCAATTGGCTTTTTATTGAAATACTCAGATTTTTAACATTTGAAAAATTGATCAGGGGTACTCTCTATTTTAAGAATCTCCATTTGCAAAAAACAATGAATACTGTTTTGCTGTTATTTATGTATTTTAATATTTATATACTACTCCGAATATCCTCGCCGTCATATTTTTATCTGAATTGTGCAATTGCATTCCTTTTCACGTCATAAATTATGATGTAGTGTTTCATATTAGATTTTACTGTTTTCATTTTCAATCTCAATTGCTAAATATTTTTAACAAATAATTCAGGACTATATGCCCCCTTGTACATGTAATTATCGGAGGTTTGAATGTAATCACATTTTCAAATAGAGATCTGCCTGAACACCTGATTTCTTTTCTGTTCTCTAGGGCAATAATTTTATTCAACTAGTAGCCGAAACATTTTAATGAATCAACTGGATGTATGTATTATGATTATATTTTAATGTAATGTCCACTTCTGTGATGGAAGTTTATCAGTGGGTCTATGCTCTTGTCTTCTTCAGTATTTAATGTAAATTAGAAAATTTGTAGAAATGATCGTCTTCTCTGTAACTTTGAGAAAAGGGCTGTAAATAATAAAAAAATAAAAAATCAAGAAGGCAAGGAAAAGGATGATTTCAATATTTTTATATCTGCAGTTTTATAACTTCTTCATTGTGAATTAGTGTGACAATGTGACAAGTATTCAATTCCACTTTTATTCCGAGAATTGTATTTTAACAAATATTCAATGTTTTTAGATTGGCCAATAACTGTAGCATTGTTAATTTTGAAGGTTTATCAAAAATATGCCCCTTTTATCAAAACAAACAAGAAAGTGGAATATGTAAATAATCTGTTATGCTACGTACACGAGGATTTTGCGGCTCCTGCAAAACCCAAGACCACGTTTATGGTTCAGTCTGTTAGATGCTCCAATATGTATACTGGTATGTATAGATGTATATACATGTACATGTGTGGAGATTGCTAAGGCCAACTTTTATTTATCAGCAACATCTTCACGGAAAAGATGAGACTTTTAAATGTTTTACATGCAAGCTACATATCGAAGGGTCAGTGACACAAAGATGTAACTCCATTTTTAGAAAAAGTGGTTTATGTGTCACCGAGCACTTGGGCCTTAAGGAGTCAAGTCTATGTTTCACTAGCCATCGACTTCAATGGGGTGTTGGATGGAAGTCTTTGTGTTTTCTGGAAAGCCCACACTTTTCTGAACATTTTGGCAAAATATGGAGTTACGTCTTTGTGTCACTGAACCCTCGATATGTGAATGCACATGTGTGGATGTATGAATGTAGTCATCAAAAGATCGGAAGAATCTTTGCCCCTTCAATGTATTTATACACATCTCGAAAATGAACAAAGATTTTGCATTCAAATTGACTGTATTGTGTTGTGTGATCATTGCTTTGTAAAGGTATTATCAAGGTCAGGTTGTGAAATTTAGTCAAAGATAATCAAACAAAACTTACGCCAAATGTCGACTAAAAAGGAGCATGTGCCAACTGATTTGGGAGGAAATTTTTAATTAGCACAGTACATGTAATGAGGAAAAATATGAAAGAAACAACAGAGGAGTGAAAGAAAGAGAGAGGGGAGGATATGATAGAGAAAAAAAGTGAGTGCAAAAGGAAGAATCGGACAAGGTATAAGCACATTACATTAGGTGATACTTCATCCCAAGCTATCCACTTTGAATTATGGTTTCTTTTATTCTGTCAATTTCTTTGTATCTTACAATCTGTATCTTTCTTGCTTTTTACCCATAACACAAACTTTTATCTTTCAAATTGCCTGACTTCCTTATGCCATTTAAAGATGTGAAGTGTTAGTGTGTGTTTAATATATTAGTGTCGTGTTTGGGATCGGTGTCTTAATAGTTATTGTAATATTGCAAGGTAATAATTGCAAGGTATTTGAAGGGTAATACAAGAGTATAATTTATTATAACTCTAAAAACGATGAGTCAAATAGTCCAGATTCACAAGTATATTTACAAGATGTAAAGCAACTAAAGTATAGTTGATAGCTTGGTGATATGGTCTGAACTCTTCTGTTCCTCTCATGAGGGATGCACACACATTATATTCCCAAGTTCATTCTCACGGTCATCTCGGTAACACATGTAATCTGTTCTGGGAAAGGGTCTTATCAAACAAAGGGGGCTTTAATTATTGGGAGGGAGACAGGAAGTCTTTTGTTTCGGAGGTTTGGGGTTCTTATCAAATGTATACAATTTGGGGGTTATTTGGCTGGGATTATTTATTAAACAAATGTTCTGGAAGGGGGAGTCTGGTATATCTCAGGGTGGGTCTTATCTGTATTGGGGCATACTGAGTGATATATACTATTACTGAGGGGGTTGTAGACTTACCAATACATAACATTAGGATCAATAGAATCAATGTACAAATTCATAACTGTAATAAATGGACGCAAAACAAAGTCTGTTTGTAGAAAATGTTTGGTTTTATTATCAAACAACTTTCAATATGAAGAACAAAAAGTTCTTTCTTTTAAAGCCACATTATTACGAGTTGTTCACCAAATGAAAATAGACTATAACTACATAAGACGAGACTTTCAAATGAATCAGTTTCAGCCAAGTACTGTACGGTCTGTACCAACCTCTCATTATGTTTGTACATGTAGTTGGATAGAAATAGTTAAGTAGTACTACCATGGAACAAGCTAGACTGTTCTTCAAACAAAAGCATAATTATGTTAAAGTCATGAGGTAAACATAAATATCTATCTTCAAGTTACAGACAATGTATGGGAACTATAAAAATATAAATGACATGGTTCAGGACAACGGACACTTGACAGAAAGGAAAACATTGAAAATTTATAAACAAAAATTACAAAATACTAGACTTCACCTGAGCACATTGACAAAAAAAAAACATAAACCTGGCAAAAATAGAGTACATATTGTAACATGTATGTAGAATTACACAAAGAAAAAAAATGAATACTTTTAAATGTCTTTTTATTTCTAAATATCCCAAATTCTGTACAAGCTTTCCTCATAATCTTTCCTTTTTTGAAACGTTTCCTTCATTCTTATGATTTCATGTTGGAATGGTTCTTTGCAGAAAGTATCCACAACAAATAAAAAGACAGTAATTATCAAAGTCATTACAACTTCCTGCAGTATTTTGAAATAACAGGCAACACCAACACTGAAGTCTTAAAAATGTACTACTAAATGAACATTGTACAGAGGAATGAAAAACAAATTTCAAATGATAGCTTTTTGTAATTCCAGACTCAAAACTTGTAGACTTGAATACATCACTGGAAGATAAAGGACTAAAACATTTACAGATATATTTTCACTACTTCAATACCATTTAAGGAAAAACCTAATCACAAGATTCTTGCTAGTTTTGGTGCCTCTCTGAAAATGTCTGAATGATTATTGTAATCGTACAATATGACATAGACTGCTTTCAAAGACTATTTGGACAGATGATGAATATACTTTCAATGGCACTAACTTGATTTTAAGAGACCACGATGTCAATACATTACCCGCTTCACTAACCTATATCCATCTTGTATATTTCTCCATCAATACAAATGTTTAAAGCCATCACTTGACATTAATAATGTTTATCTTCATCTATCTAGTTCAACTTGGGGAATAAGGGATATTTTGTAACACATCTACGACCATGGTCAAAGACAACAATGACCTACATTACCGGTACACATGTACATCCACCTTATAAAATCATGTTGCATTTATAATTGATTCGTATCATCGTTGATTATCTCCACACAAGACAGGTTCAAATCATGTGCAATTTGCATAATATTTATTTAAAAAAAAAAAAATGTCTTGATATTTCCCAATAATTGATGAATTAAATATTGACAACAAAAGATGCTTAAGGGCAATTCCACGGTAACGGAAGGACACTCAGACAAGATTTTTGAACTTCAGGTTCATACTAAATAAACTGTTTTATTAGTATAAGATGTGAAACAGTACAGATATAATACCTATATAAGTGCCTTTAATTCTCCCCAAAAAAATTGTCATTATAGTTAAGAAGTTTAAGAATGTGCATATTAATTATCTCGGTAACGGAAGGACATAAAAATGGACATGGTTTTTCCATTAGTGTTTATTAGTGTTTATCCAAACTTTGTGAAGTTGATGAAGCTTTCCACTTGACTGAAACACATTTTGTTCCCCATAGTTTAATACATACTAATAAAACATTTCTTTTAGTATGAACCTGAAGTTCAAAAATCTTGTCTGAGTGTCCTTCCGTTACCGTGGAATTGCCCTTAATTGTAATTTTTGGAAATTTAAAATACTTACAGACTGATAACTGAAAATATGAGGCACTTTAAAGAAATCAGATATAAACAGTTCCTAACACCTGGTATACAAAAAGGTCTGCATTAGAGCTGCAGAACTGTAGATGCATTAGCATCTGTTTCAGCCACAATTATAACAACTTGGCTTCCTTCCACATATGCAAGGACCTTGTCTTTCCAGTTAGCCATCACCATACGGAAAGAGTTCGGGACTTGCAGGTTGGCTTGCAGTGTCTGGAGTAGACCTCCGTCCTCAAGAGAATGCTTCTTGATCATGACAACATTTGGGACAGAAGCCTTTTGAGAGGCAACATACAGAAAGTCACTTTGGTGACATGCCACGGCCAGATAGAGGGTGTTTTCCTCTGCGATTACAAACTTTTGGACTCCATCAGAACGTAGCCTCTGACAGCGTACACCCCTTCGATCAGGGTTAATGAAGATGGCATTCTGACTCTTATCAAATCGCAGGTAGCGAACACCGCTGATGTAGGACGTGGCAAGAGTATTCACCAGGTTGCCTTCGGTGTCCATGAACGAGATGTCTTGATCATGGAAATTCTGGTCAGCTACCACTATCAGGTCTTGCCCTTCACTTGGGCAACAAGTAACAGAGACCCACTTGCCACCAAATCCATGCATTATGTTGCTTGAGTTGTCTACAATTTTGAAGATTTCCTTTTCATTATTCTGGTACACTATGGTGCTGCCAGCAAGCACAGTCAAGTCTCGAACGATTGTACCAGCCACAAGGGTGGTGATGTCTGAAGAGTGATGAGGAGAGACAGCATCGATTCCATTCCAAGTATCGGCAATAAGCAGTGTGCCATCCTTCATGTACATCAGCTGCGATACAGAATCATACGTGGCATCAACACTGTGGGAAAGTTCCCAGTATGGTCTCACTTCCAATTCTCCAAGCTCACTGCCACTGCATGATGCCTCTAGGTATAGCTTGCCTGGGATGAACTGCAAGCCAGGATTCTTCAAGGCTATGATGAGCGACGAGCTAGGAGTCACATCTCTGGCCTTCAGGAGATCCTTCATCTTCTTCTCTATACTTCCATGTTTCCTCACCATCTCTGCATCACTAGAGGATTCCTGCAGAGTTTGCCATTCTGTCACGGCGGCTTGTAGTCCATCCTCCAGATTGGAACACTTGTTCTGTTTTTCTTCCATATCTTCCTCCACCTCTCTCATAACCCCTTCAAGATACTGCATAAGCTCCTCTTCTTTACCCTTTACCTTCGAAATCACCTTCTCTGCTTTTTGACGGATCTCCACAATCAGTTTCTGGAGAATATCCACAGTATTCTCTCTATTCATGTTGACTTTATGGTGAGTCGTCTGAATTCCAATGCTCTTATTGCTGCATTGGTCGACTAGCCCCTGCATCAGGGTTCGGACAGTAGATGCCTTCCTCTGCAAAGGAATTATGGTGTTTGCACGATGGTTGCAAAGATGACAGCACAGCTTAACACACTCAACGCAGAATAACTTGGCAGGAACCCAGCAATGTACTTTACAGTTCTGATCAGCATCAGGTCCAGACACAGTTTTTTGATGGGAATGATGCTTCCGACCCTGAACACACTCCAGGCAGAGATGCTTCTTGCAGTCATGGCAAAAGTACTTGGCATCCGTCCGGGGCTTCTTACAAGATTCGCATGGCTTGGATCCTTGCCCCTTAGAATCTCCTTTAGAATCTGACAAAATATTGAGAGAATGACAATTCTGATTGGTACTTCGATTGCATGGTCCCCATTCTTTTTTTAAAAAGATACTAGACGAAAATCCCGAGCTTTTTAGCCATTTTTCTTCAGATCTTTTTTTTTTTTTATGTTGAAGAAGTTTTTTCTTCTGATTTGAGTATATGAAAACTGCAATCTTGAGCTATTAATAATAAAAATCAAAACAATTTCGAAAATTCATGTTTTAAGAAATGTTGCTCTTTTTTAATACTAATTTGTTTACATAAATGTATACAAATGATTCAAAATCGCTGCATTTAATTATTTAACATTGTAGACTGTAAAATGTAAATGGGATAACATTATTATGTTGAAATCGGTTTATATCATATTTTTAGATCATATTGTTCAGTAAAAAAATATCTATTCTGCTTCAAATTTGAATGACTGAACGAATCATTTCTCCTTGGAATTATCAATAATAATGTATTTAAATAGTAAAATGTCCATATTGTATACATGATCATGAGATTTACAACAATGTTATCAACAGAAGAGCTGAGTTTTTACTTTTTAGATATTTTTGTAAAGTATTAAGAGATTGCTGGTTGAGAAGAAATATGGGTAGTTTATTTATTCCAGTGAAAAATTGGGAAAAGGGGAATGCATGTGACCAATGCAATGCTGCCACTAAATGGCCTAGATAATTTTTCTGATTTAGAAATTAATAAACAGCAGTTATTTACTTGGGCCATGATTCTTGGTTTTGTCCCACTCTTCCAGTTTTCCTAGGACACTGTTGATGAGCGCATTGCCCTTCAGTCCCGCCACTCCTTCCCGAGGTAGACGGGTCACTACTCGGCACACAGGGCAAGTGATCACGCTCGCTGCTTCGCGGCCCGACTGCACGCAACTTTCCAAGCAGTCGAAGCAAAATGTGTGCTGGCAAAAGAGACATCTTGCATTTCGAAGCCTGTCCATGCACACGGAGCATTCAAATTCTTTGTTCAGTGAGTCTATCACATCGAAAGGAGCTGCCAAAGCCATGGTGAATTTTCCCTTTTCTTTTCTTTCCAGGGAAAATGTTCCAAGACGGCAACAACATGCAGCAGTAGCTGTGTACACACGAGCATGTAGTCTTATGACAAACACGTTTGTTCGTTCGATTGTTCACTTTCGTTTACTTATAGGCTTTATTCCAGTTTTCATGTACCTAACATAATTTATCCATCGAAAATTTCGAGACATATTTATGATTGAATTGCATGCAAAAGTATATCAATCTTTTTTTTTTTAATAATTTGGTATCATTGAAAGTTCAAAAAAAGTTATATCCAATTATTATAATTTGATACATTCGCTAAATTTATCATACCGACTTGAACAATCCTATTGTTTACAAGTAGAATGAATACGGATGGATGGGTGAGTGCGACAATAATAATGAACGATTATAAATTGAGCATAGTAGTTGCTTTCCTGCCGACTCAAAATCTAGCTACAGCATGCATCCTTATGTTAATTGTTGTTTCTTCAAAGCAGGGAGATGTGAGTTTAAAGATAATAATTTGATTTTTTTTTTTAAAGACACTTGTATAAATTGTGTGTGGGAATGGAATTTTCTCTTGAAATAAAATCGCGGCCGCGAGGTTGCCTGGAAAAAGTTCGAAAAACAAAATACATCCTCAGGTTTTTGCAGGTTAGAAAGCGATTTCAACAGACGGTGAACAGAGGTAAGAATTCACTATCCCGTAAGTTGTCTCCGTTATTTTTTCAACCACATTATCGTGGGTGCAACAATTATGTTGCAGGTGAAAAGACTGTGTGCATTCCAGATCTTTAGTAAAGATAAGTTTTAAAACAGATCGATTCACACTTAAATCTTAGCTCTCTTTTGTTTGTGTGTGTGCTTTTTGAACTTTTGATTGATCCCAATTCGTTTGCTTTAATCAAAGATAACATTTTGACCACTCTCTCAGCCCTCCTGATACATGTTTGCACCTTTATTCTCAACAGATAATGGAACATCTCCCAATCTGGATTTATGAGGCACTCAATATGTAATAGGAGTGCATCATCTCCATTATCTGGGGAGTATTTCTACTAGACTTCAACTTCCTTTCCAAGTTCTCATATCGCTTGCTTTTCTCATGCTCATCTCTTATTCTTTTCTCCAACATCACATCTTTCTACACACCTTCATATAGTGAATAAGATAGAAAGCAACATAAAAGATCAGTTAACAATTTGATAGAGTTTATTTTCATTTTTTATGACATCGAGAGAATTTCATCTGATCTTAGTCTCTCTTGTACATTCAATATTATAAACAATATAAAAACATCTTAACCTAGTGTGCAACTATAACAGCCACACTTCAATCTCAAATAGACTCAAATAGACAACAAGAACTAAGGAGGATTGGCAACAATATATCGCTTCTCTTATACCTTTACTCCAGCGCAAATCTGCTGTCATTATTTACAAGATTTGCATAAGTCAACCGTAGTCGCCTCTTCTGTTTCATCTCAAACAAGGATAAGATCAATTTCATCATAAATCTCACTAAAACATTGGTTAACTGTGCAGCACAGCATAATCTGAGTTCTCACACAGTACGTTTCACACACAGCACGGGACTACCGTTATCAAAGTTCATAAGAAGTGCGACACAAATATACAAGATGGGCTAGACATCCCCATCAGTAGAAATATAAAAGGTGGTAAAACAACAGGGCCATGTTTTATAGGAATCTTGATCTTATAATAATTACAGCATCTTTTGGAAGTACTGTATATTAAAATATCTATAGAAGGTCGTGCTTGTATTCCAAAACATTTGGTTGGCAGCACAATAGGTGTTTAAGGAAAGTTTGGAAAGGGTGGATAGGTTTAAGAAAGCATAATTTTCTCATCATTTCAGTAGTGGTCTGGGTTAACTATGTAATGGTCAAACCCTGTTCAAGGTCTAATAAAATGAGCTGTCTGCATTTACATTTTGTAATAGAATTTAGTACTCTGCTTTTCTTTCCAAACATGATTTCAACCTCTGGCTCTTCTCTCTCATACAGATGTCTTCAGCAATTTAACACTGGATATGATTACATCTTTTTATCTTTCATGACATCATTATGTTCTATAGATCAGTCACATCCACACAAACATTGTGTATGTGTAATATTAGCTCAAGGAAAGAGAATAATTCATCTCTATTAGTCCCTATACAAGCCTTTTATTAAGTCAACGCAGACCGGGAGCCAAATATCTGAAAAAGCGGCTCCCGGTCCTTATTTTTTTTAGAGAACCGGGAGCCGTTTTCCAGGACCAGGAGCCGTTTCCAAAATTGATGAAAATATGTACCGTTTTCTTTTAAATTATTTGTTAAACGTTACCTTTTATTTATACATACGGTAGTTTAATTTCTAGTTTAAATTTTGAGCACTCTAATATTAAATCACTCATACCTTAGATAAATCTGTCATTTGTAGTTGTTGTAGTTCATGTTTAATACTATTTTCATGCCGTTAAATGTCAAAAATTTAAAAATGTTGGGAAGGGGGGAATTAAATTATTTCTATAAAAAAATATTTAAGAAAAACCAGATCTATAATGACAATGCAGAGCTTCCAACCTGTCGCTTTCAAAAAAACATATTATTCAGCTTGAAAAAACATATTTTAGGTGAAAAAAAAAGATTATGCCTGTTTTACGTTTTTGTTATTTTCCCTATAAAATGCTATTGCATTCATGTTTCTTTGAATAAAAACACATTTAATCATTGAGAACGACCGACCTGTCACTTTAAAAAAAAAATAAAAAAAAATATTAATAATAATAATATAATAATAATTAGAAAATTAAAAAAAAAAGATTTGTTAAATATATTTATCTATTTTATCAGAAAAGTCCATTATTCAAAACATCACAGAATTTTAGTCAATGAGTACGAGGGCCGCTGAATCAAGGCAAGTCTGGAGTTGCAATCAACTTTGTACATAAAGTCAATGCATCAGCAGAGCCGGTGTTTTGATTTTCATTTGCTTTTTTGAAGATACCATTACATTCGAAGGGCATGCGATAGGCAAAAAAACTGGTAACAAAATCGCTGATTTCTTGATTTTTAGCGCTATTTTGATGAAACTGTTTCTTAAAACTGAGCTTAACCCCCGTGAGCTTTGGAAATATGGCTCCGATTTTGCATTTTTGACAGCAAAATTTGGCTTTTCGGATGGATTTTTGGAAGTTACATCGAGACTTTCTTGTACTGACACTGTGTGTGTACTGCAGTACAGGACTGATGTCATTTGTGTATGCATGGCCTGGGCTGGGGAAATGCGCTCGTCTTTGAGTGGTGTACATCCCCTGTATTGTGTGCTCCGTTCTCCGCTAGGCGTAGGAAATAGCGGCCGCTCGTATTCGTGCTGCAATTGTTTCTGGGCGATTTTAATTAGGATTCTCATTATAATGATTTGTTAGGGTTCATTCAGTCCACGTTTAACTTGTATCAAGTAAGTTTTTGTCACATTTGTGAACATTTAGTGCTAGACATGTGGAAGTTTATGAAACAGAAAATGTTAATTCTCCCAGACCGGGCGCCAGAAATAAAAAATGACCGGCGCCCGGTACTCATTTTCCCCGTCTTACCGGGCGCCAAAAGTCAGGGACCGTAGGGTAAAAATCGCCCGGCGCCCGGTTAATAAAAGGCTTGTCCCTATAACAATCATTATGTTTATACCTGGCTGTAAAGCCTTGAATTCAAGTGAATACAGCATTGGATTGAGAACGTCTTGAATCAGGGTCATTAAGTACTAAGATACTCTATTCAAGAGGCTGGTACTCGACTGGAAGAGGAAGGGTCATTTAAACACTTCTCCATGACTTCCACTCATTTTACAGTACTATAAATAAGGGGTCATTGAAAGAATACTCGTAAAAGAGCACAATAAAATCAAGAACCAAATTTGTGCCACATGTTTGAAGAAGCAAAATTAGCTAAGAAGGATTTGAAGAAGCCTCTTTCAACCATTTTTTTTTACACTAAGACTCCTGTAAGTAGTAAGTACAATCGTGTAAACGTTCAAGTATCAAATAAATGCATAGTTTATCCACAATCAACAAATAATATCAGAAGACCATGTGTGAAGACTACTTCCACCTGTGTTCCAAATTACATTACATATCTTGTATCCTATACCTTTTATGCACTGCAGTAACCATGACAACATTTTTGGCACTAGTTAAATGGAATCTCAATTATACATACATTATTTCAATTTGAATCTGACAATAATCAAAATTCAAAGACACTAAATCAAGAAATTTGTATTTTACACAATTTAGTACAATGGAATTCAAACACAAATAGAATCATCATATGTTGGCAATTTTTTCTGTAACGGGTTAAAATACTAGATATCTTCACCTGAGATTGGAACAACTGTGCAACACCTTACTCTTATATCTATAAGAGGGGGCCTGAATTTTCCTGGAATTAACTCTTTGGGATCTAGCACGAAAAGGTAGTATTGACAATATGCAAACCAATAGAGTAGAGGTGTCATGGTCGAGTGGATATGTCACCGGACTGTGGATCACAAGGTCCGCGGTTCAAGTCCTGCCGCAGCACTAATATCCTTTGGCAAGACATTGATCTACATTTGCCACTCTCAACCCAGGTGTTAAATGGGTGGGTACCCGGTAGGATGCGAAAGTTAATGTGGTAAGATGAGCAAGTGTGCGCTCATAAAAATGACGCCTGGCTGTAATGATCCCCGGAGAGTGGAGAATGTGCATACATTGTGTGTATGACCGGGGTAATACATATCTGTAAAGCGTTTTGAGAGGGCCTGTGGTCCTGAAATGCGCTATATAAGAACGAAATATTATCATTAATAGTGGGTTCAAACTGGATTCATTATAACTGCCACTTGTAAGTGTTTGTCATTTACCATCAATTTCTCATACTGTCACAAAGTTTTGTTGCTTCTCCAATAATTTGTAGCCTTACCTGGGACATTACAAGACAAGATTTCTTCACCTCAAACAGGTGGATATTCTTCCATAGAAAGCTTCTCACTGAGTCGTACAACAGTGTGCCAATTCGCACTTCACTCTTCTAAGTTATTTTTTCGGAGGAACTTGCCATACCATCACATTGACTGTACTCTTCAGAAGCAGTATAAGGGGTTCTAGCAAATATATCTAGGAATTGCATTTGGTTGGGTCGGACAAACCTACACGTCGATATACAAACACTTACAGCGTGGTCTTCGGCAGTAAGATCTTTTACTGCTCTGCAGGATTAATCAAACACCTCATGCTGCCTATAGGAGAACACTGAACACTCCTCCCCTCCCCCTTCCTAACTTGGATGGGAATGGAGTTTTTCCTTTTCTTCACACATATTCAAGACAGTGGACCAGTGTATGCTTCATCAAATATCAGTGTCGGCTGGATCTTTCTTGTAGAGCTTCCCATAGCGTCCCATGTACTTCCTGATGTATTCTTTGGCTTTATGTTTGACATTCTCGTTGACCTCTAGATCCTCGATGTTTCGGCAGTGCTTCAGCTCCTTGGCCATGATGCCGTGGGTTAGCTTCCTAGCCAGATGCTTGAAGTCTTCCGTGTTGGTGATGCGGCCCAGCTTACAGTCTGGTTTGCGGTAGGCGTTGAGATAGCCAACAACATGATGGGACATCTATGACAGGGTAAGTAATGGAGAACAAGGAAGTACAAGTGAATGACATAAATATGAACAGGTCAAAATAAGATGAAAGTCCATGACAGATACATAAATTTCAGGGATATTCATGTTTTCTTTCTTTCTTTCTTCCTTTCTTGTATTTTCCATTCTTCCCTCTATGAAAACAAAGTAAACTAGCATTAGACATCCCCTGTTCATAAATCTATATTATTAACTTTAGAGAATGATATAGATATTCTGGTAATAAGAATGTTATAAACATCCAAAAGGTAGTTATAGAGAGAGAGACAGAGACAGAGACAGACAAAGAGATAGAGGAAGAGAGAGATAGAATAGGAGAAGGAACGCCATTATGAGATTGAACGAGAAAAAGAATATATCATTACTTGATAACTGTCCTAAGTTATGAGTGTGCATATGCTGACAAAAAGTATACAACTGTTATGTGACGTGTTTATTGTACAAAAAGTTAAATAGAACTCAATGTTCAGGAACCCTATCATTGCAAGATTATAAATTTCAATTTTATCAAACTTGGAGCAATAGGGGGGTGTTTCACAAAGATCCCAAGTCAAACTTAACTCTAAGTTGGACTTGAACATTATGAAGAGTCATTTGTAGCCTTAAAGTTGATACTCTAAGACAATCCCAAATACTGAGATAATTACATAAATAGAAAGCTTTTAACCCCCATAATAACACCAAATGGTGTCCACCCGACAAAACAAGTTTAGAATAATGAATTTATTCGAGTAAACTCTACCAACATATCTAAGTCTGAAACCCGGAAGTGCACGTAGAGTCGGGCCTTTATCCGTGACGTCACGAACGGGAGTCATGGGCTCAGTGAGAGTGAATGGCAGTGATATCCCTACGTAAATGCTATCCTGTCAGAGCTTAGATTTGTTGTTGTTAAGGAGTATATTTGATGGATTTTCTGTTTTCATTTGAATGAAGAATAACGAAGCAACATTTTCCAGTCGCTGATTTCTTTTTATATCCTCATATTCACCTATTTGGTAGAGATTTAAGACGAGTTTACTGCTTAGGAATTAAAGTTAAATCGTGCACTTATGAATAGGCGGATGCATTATATTGTCATCAGATGAACATGAGCAGTTTTGTAAAAAGAATAGGTCTAGAACTATGATAGTACTTATCATAGATGTGTGTGACTGCCTCAAAAAAGGATACAGTACCAGTTAAACATTTTATGTTGTAAAATATCAAACTTGAACGAGATCATGCAAGCGCGCTTCCTCTATAATATTTTGGCGAGTGATGCGGCTCTTGCACGAACGTTCGTGGAGCGAGCGGAAACGGGAGGTAAGACCAAGCCGCTGCTCTAGGCGCTGCTTGCTTGTGATGGAACGTACGTGCGCTAGTTATATGTTTATCGGCAATTGCAAGAGAATGAAAGCGACGTTGCCAGCTAAGAAAAACAACTAACAAAGACTTGCTCCTGACTACCGGTGTCATAATTGGTAGATGAAGGATGTTCAGGGCCAAGGAAGGCGAAAGACATGGGAAAAAGGAAGAAGAAACCATCGGGAGATCGCTGTAGTGTATGGTAATGAACTGTGCATGGGTATAGACAGCTACTGTTCACTCCGTGCCTGGGCCGATTTCAACACCAAAACAAAAATTACGTGGTGAAAATATCGACTAATAGCACATCGTTGGCATGTATATGTCATAATTTTTAAAAGGGGAATTGATATTAATACTATGAAGTACTAGGGGAAGGTAAAGAATTGTACATAGAATTATGATTTATTAGACTTTTCAGCCTTTGAAACAAAAATATGCAGAAAATCGTATCACTCTGCACATGTTTGCTATGGAACATCCGGGTACGTGAATATACTCTCTCCCGGACGTGAGGTCATAAATAGTAGACCAGCGTCGTGACTGATTTTCTATGCAAAGAGAGGCGGATATTTTAGACATTTCAATTGAGGATTTCGAGTAGACGGAATTTTTTTTGTGATATACTAAGTAATTGAAAAACTTAAAAATAACATATACTTGCCGTAGGTAACAAATTAAGGGACATTTATTTGCTTAGAGTATCAACTTTAAAATATATTCAAAAGCAAAAATCAAAGTATTTTAGACTTTTCATAAATTCCACATCAAGAACACTAAATCTCCTTGATAATAGAAAATATGAATGATTTGAATCAACATTTAATGCCTTTTAAAATAACTTTTACAAAAATATTTCATAGATGCTAACAGCTTTCCATAATTGTTAAGTCCAACTTAGAGTAAAGTTCGACTTAGGATCTTTGTGAAACACCCCCAGGACATTCATTCCAGGATATCATCCTACAAACATTGCTTACCCTTGATCTGAATGCCTCCTTGAGCCTCTTGGCAGCTTCAGAGGAAGTATCAGCAAGAGCAGTAGTGGTTTTCGGTCTACCCTTCTCATCGTATGTAGGTGTGTTAGATTCTCCACCTGTCTCGTCATCATACATATCATCTTCATCCTCGTCCCAAGAGGGCAACTCCCACTGGGTTTGTCTGTACAGAGGATAAACAAATGAAATCACATCATAAGGGAAGTCCAAGATGTATGATCATTAGTATCCCATACATTGCTTAAGTATTGACAAGTTCTGAACATAAACACAATATCAAATCTGTTATTTCACTTCATATTTGGTCTCATCTGAACTCTGGTATGGCCGTTAAATTCATGCAGGAATCAGAAATTAAAATCTTAGATATGGTCAGTAATATATGGGGTATCACTGACTGGACTTGCCCAAGAGCTCCAATACTTACCCCCCCCCCCCCCCACCCCCATTGCAATGTGCTTTGTATCAAGTGGAAAGAGCACTCAGATAACACTGATCAATATCAGTTCAACGATACATTCTACAACGATTGAATAAATAGCCAAGAGGCTAATCTACATTACCTTGTAACAGAGTGGTAGTAATAGACTTTTCCTTCTGCGTCCTGGGCTGTCTTCCAGTTAGCAGGAAGCTTGGCAGTCTTTGGTTTCGCAGGGGGTGAAGGGATAGACTCTGTAACCTGAATGTAATCATACATTATGAAAAAAATAGTATGGATAGGTAATACTACCAAATGGCCATAATAATAGTGAAGATAATGATGATTTCATTGTTTTTCACACATAAAATCAACAGGTTCAATAAATGGATATACAAACAGTATGTAATGGTGAAAGGGAGGGAATTCCTGTGAGTGCACGATGTGACGCTGAGAGGGATCGATTGCGCTCGGTATACATCTCACAATCACATTATAGTTGATTTTAAACTCCCTCCCCATCCAAAAGTTGAGGCGATCCACACATCACATTGTTTGTGTCAATTGCTTTGCAGTCAAATATCATACACTGACCGAATTCCCAAGTTCAACACAGGACCAAACACTATATGAAACCCTAACCTTAACTAAAACCCAATATGGAACCCAAACTCTAATTCTACATCTTTGACAAAAAATAGCCCAGGGCAATTCTTGTTATATCGTTCCTATTTTCACGAGGTGACGGTAGTGAGGAAAATCCGCACGCAAATTGTATGCGATTTTTATTCACTACCATCACTTCGTGAAAATAGGGACGATATGTTGGAGTCTCGTACCACCACCAAGTACCTACCTGTGGTTGTTGCTGCTGCTGTTGTTGTTGCACTCCAGCCATTTGTTGTTGGTGTTGTTGCATGGGCTGTACATGAGGTGAGATGCCCTGCTCCGTAGCAGCGAGAGGAACGATGGTCTGAGTCACCAGCATGCCGTCAGGAGTTACGAAGGTGAAGGTCGTTTGGGCAGCTTGCTGAGGCTGTTATCAAAGAGGGGTATAACAGATCTCAAATATACTTGTCTTCATAGGAAAATGCTATTGAACTGGAAGAAAATATTCCAGTCTTTTCTTTGAGCTACAGTCATTTTCAAACAATCCACCCTGGAATATGTTGATGATACTAAATCAGCACATTCAGACCATCAAAAATACAGCAACTATAATTACATCAGACGGCTTCTATAAAGTCTGATTATCAAATGAGACATCAACACCATTTTGAAAGGTACTGTTTAAGACCTGCACTGTTACTCATTTAAAAATTAACGAGAGGCTCTCGAACCTAACATCAACTGATTTTGATATGAAGACTTACTGCTTGAGGTAGTACTGGCGTTTGCAAGACTTGTGGTGCCTGGGCCATTGGGACGATCCCTGGTGCAGCCTGGGCAATGGGGTAGCCCTGTTGGTTCACACTAACCACACTGGAAGAGGGTACGTTTGATGATAGTACTGGAATGCCACTGCTGGCAGGTGCAGCAGGGGCGACATAGGTGGTAGAGGGAGGGCTCGTCTTGGAGGACTGCTGGTGGATGCAAAGATGTTGGCACAAGTTATGTTATATATCTTTTGTGTCAAAGGTGGTTATTAAGCAAATAACTACCGTTGGTGAAGGTGATGGGACAAACTATCACTTCCGAGGCGATCTGGATGTAGCTATCTTTCCGAAGCGAAGCTGAGGAAAGATAGCGTATACATTCTGATCAATGAGGAAGTGATAGTTTGCCATCGCCTGAAACTAAAAGGTGATTATTTGCTTTATATTCCACATCTAAAACAATTTAACTACAAAAAGAAAAGGACGTGTATGCATCTACATGAAAGACACCAGGCCCAAATTCACACCAAAAAAGTTAAAAGTTTAACCCAACCCCTTGAGGGTACGATGCGCGCATGTGTTTGCTTTAATTGCGCTCATTGGTAATGCGCGCTTAATTACGCCTGTTTTAGTGCGCTTTTGGATTATCTTCAGTGAAAGTGATTTGCCCTGTGTAGATATACCTCTATCTTCAGTGAAAACAAAATTTACATGGAACAAGAGTATAGCTTTACAAAAAAATGTATTTCCCAACAAGCAATATTCCATTTAGTAATATGCTTCAAATGTAATAAATGTATAATTCAGCTCATCAATATAAACTCTAATGAACATCGAGTGTTTATAAGACTTGTATATTGAGAAATAATTTACACACAAAAAACAACAACCTAGTAACATAATTAAAACTATAAGGAAATAAATGGATATGTGACTAAGAAAAAGTCACATACCTTTTGACTCAATAATGGGAAAAGGGAGAAAACTTTAAAGTAACAAACCTTGGCTGCACTCTTCTGTGATTTAGACTTCTTTGATTTCCGACTTGGGACCGGTAACATGGGTGGAGGCATCAAATCTTCCTCACGTGGTGCAGATTGGCTCGGTACCTGGGCAACTCCTGCCGCAGGAATGGGTACCACCTGTGGAACATGCACCTCCTGAGAGGGTACAGCTTCCACCGGAGGTTGCATCATGTGTTGTTCTGGAGGATACATATTAGGGTCTCCTGGATGGGGCTGACCCCCTAACAGGTGAACGTCCATGTTAGGATGGAGTTGTGCCCCCATCATGTGTGGGTCCATATTGAGATGCTCGGCATGAGGGTGCACCATGGCATTAGGATCCATGTCAGGGTGGATTTGGTAGTCCATACCGGGGTGTGGCATCGCTCCGGGGTGTGGCATTCCTTCATGGGGTGGCATCCCTTCATGGGGCGGCATACCCATCATCCCTGGATGCATGTGTTCTTGAGGTGGGATTGGAAACCCGCTATCATCGTACATAGGCTGTCCTTCATGAGGCATCATGTGATGTTCATGCATGGATGGGTGGTACCTTTCCTCCATGCCCATGTGTTCATGTTGCTGCATGAGTTCAGGAAACTGCCCTTGCATGTCTGGATGCATGTGTTCTGGTGGGAAGGCCATGTCAGGATGAGGCATGTCTGGATGATGTCCCATGTACTGCTCCCCCATCGGCGGCATACCACCCATGTGCCCAGGTATGACCTCGATGGGCATACCATGTTCATTGACCATCATACCATGAGGAGGAGCATTGGGGTCTATAGGGAAGCCATTAGCATCGATGTACTGAGCCATTTGCTGCTGTCTCTGCTGCTCACTCTCCTGCCATTGTGCCATCATCACAGCCTCTTGCTCTTTACGAGCCGCATCTTCCCTTTCCTTCGCTTCCACCTGCATTTCAAATAAATGTCTCCTCTCTTCTTTGCTCATTTTTTTGCTTTCCTTCTCAAATTTCACATCCTCTTTAACCACTCCCTTGCCTTCCTTTCCTTTAGCATCCTTCCATGGTTTCCTGAGCTTTGGAGGTGTAGCATTAGTGTCAGAATCCTTAGACCAAGATGATTTGGTCTCTCGCTCTCTACTTCTTGATCTACTTCGTTTTCTCCTTGATTTATCATCACTTTTATCTCTATCTTTCCTTTCTTTGTCTCGATGGCGATCTCGATCACCATCTCTACCTCTGTCTCTGTGATGTCTATCGTCTCTGTCCCTACCCCTATCCCTGTCTCTTCCGTAATCCCGATCTCGATCTCGATGATCTCTATCATAGTCCCTATCACGGTCATGTTTACGATCCCTATCCCTGTCATGTTCACGATGTCTGTCTCGTTCTCTGTCTTTGTCTCTATCTTTTTCACTCTCCTTCTTTGGTATCCTATAAATTTCCTGTACAAAAAAAAGGGGATAGAGTTTAACAATTCTTCATAATGGATGCTCTTACAGATCTAATGTAAGAACCTTTTATTTTCAATTGTCAAACACTTCAAGCAATAGAATTACAGAAATTGTACATACGCTTCAACAATATCGTTCGCTATTTCAAAGAAATTTACCAAAATTTATACAAAATTCAACTTTCATTTCAGTAAATTCTTTGTTTTGTTATGTTCATGAGAATATAATAGAAACAGTACATATCATCTCTGTAACTCACGAAGCTAAATCCTTATCTATGTCACCATGTCCCAAATAATTTGGCCCAGATCTGACCTTCAGCAAAAAAATATCTTCAATTTTGACAAAGGCTACACTGTTATAAATAAACACAATGATACAGATCTATTGCATATCATGTAATAATTTACTCAATATGATGTAGCATAAAGTATAAAACTTACTTTTAGGTCACTCCAAGAGCTCAATAGAGATGAAAGAATGATGGAAATTTCTGAATCGCCACCCTTTTCTCCTTCATCGGTTTTGCTTTCTGCTTCGTTATCCGTCTCAACTGCTACACTGGGTGGCTGCTCAACATCTTTAGTCCTGTTTTCAGACTCAGATGTGCTGGCCATTACAGATTCTTCTGCAGGTGGGGTTGAGGACTCGCTAACAATATCCTCTGATTGTGAGATTGCTACATCTGCCTGAGCATCAGTAGAAGAGTTTTGAGATTGCACGTGTCTTGTTGCATCTGCAGCTAATGATTTGAGCGTCCTAACTTCCTTGGAACTATCGTCAGACGATTCTTTGGTTTCTGGAAGGCCCGTTTCTGTGCTATCAACAACAGCACTATCAAGAGCTAGTGTTTCACTCAATGAATTTTCCTCAGGTGCTACCTTGTCCTTGCTAACTGATTCTCCCACTGTGGTAGAAGATGTCGCAGCATCCGATGCCGAGTCCGGTTGCCCTGGCAACACATCTTCTTGTTGCTCATTCTGAGAATCCTCTCCTGCACTTGACGATGGTTTTTCCATGGATTCCCCTTCGCTACCAGTGGAAGTTGGAGATTCCATGCTCTCTGCTTCTAGCCTTTGCCGGAGGGCAAGAGGTACTCCTGAGGGTGCTTCACTGTCCATATCACTTTCAGAACTGGTTGCTTCTGCTATCGACTTGAGCATCTCAATACTACTGTTGATGTTCAGACTTGATGCCATGGCGGCTGAAATGGGCGTATCTGATCGTGAAGGTGTCTCGCTTGCACTGGACGAGTCAACGTCACTGTCAGCCTTGGTTGCAGATGTCATTTCTTGGGGTGGTCCTTGGTTGGCAAAGTTTCTAGCCCACCTCTCAATGACCGAGAGAACCTTGCTGTCTTCCAATGCATTCTTGTTTGGAATAGGAAGCTTGGCTAAGGTGAGGAGGATCTGCAATGAATAAGGGAATCAGATTTCTTCAAAGTTAGAATGAAACCATAAACATGTTTGCATGTGAGCACATGTCTTGACTTAGCTAAAATATAAACAATGCCTTGCAAGACCATGTTGATGACATTAAATCTCACAAGTATTGTACAGTTTCTATTACACAGGAAATGAATCTCTTGCAGTCAAAGATAGTGGCACTTATTTACTTCTTGTTTTCAATTTATGATCACTGTACAACTCGCGAATGAACTATGACTGAATTCTGAAAAGAATTACAAGATGTAAATTCTTTCAAAAGGGAGTGCGATATGGCAATAGGAATAGTGATAGTTAATTACAGGGAATCTTTGGCATTTCACAAAATCCTAGTTTCAATAATACCAGTCATGTGACCTCAATCTGATAGAATCTGCATTGGATATCTCTGCGTCTTCATAGGTTGTGTTATGGCTTTAAAGCTTATCTGCCATAGTTTACAGGAGGGATTAGACTGCCTTACAAGGTCACAGGACAGGTGGTTATCTCATTAACTCAGCTCTCAGTTAACATAAGAAAAAGAGGATCATGGGGGACCAAGGGTCACCGATTAGGCATCGTTTGTTATATAGAGGGCGCAAGTAGCTACAAGTAGTGCAGTGCCCCTTTAAAAAAAAAAAATTTGTTTTCAGATATTTCGTTAGATTGAAATCTTTGTTATTTACCTGCATTTGGAGTTCAGCAGGGTTATCTCCCAAGTCAACCATCCAGCTCCATATTAGCTTGAGACCATGATGGGTTAGGAAGTACTTCAAGTAAGCCTGTTCAGTCGTTTCCTGTATACATGGTTAAAATCAACATGAAGAATGAAAATGAAGGTGTAGAGTGGAGGTGTGGTATAGTGGTTAATTCCCTTGTTCCTCATTCCAAGGGTCAGGGTTCAAGTCCTTTGGCATGATGTTAATCAACATTTGCCACTCTACACCCATGTGTAAATGGGTACCTGTCGACTGCCGAGGTGATAATAATTGCAGGGCCCGCAGGAAGAGCAGTATAAATACTGATGTGGCTATCCTGGGTAAATAATAAAATGATAATAGTGGGTTCTTGTCTAACGCTCATGTCTGTCAGACTGGACACTCCTGGGGCTCCTAATCATCATCCTGGCTTTAGCATGGCTGCCATTACGGCGCTCTAGTATTTCAAGAAATTAATTCCTGCCAGGTACCAATTTACATCACTTGGGTTTGAGGGTGGCAAATGTAGATCAATGTCTTGCCAATGGACATTAGTGCCGCAGCAGGACTCGAACTGTGAACCTTGTGATCCAAAGTCCGGTGACAAATACATTTGACCACAACACCTCTACAACTAAATAAACATCTGTAGTACAAATGACTCAATGTCCAATCACTAGCCCTGTTCCACAAGACTTGGTAGCAATAACAACATACAATAACTAATATGAGAAACTGGAAATGATTGTGGGAAATCTTGTTACAGAACTTTGGTTTTATGAAACAAAACAAGGCCCTTGAGCCTTCACAAAGACAGCCCTTGAATCATTACATCAATTGCAGTAAATTCAAGCTAGCGCATTTATGCCTTTCCTTTTGTATTGGTCTGACGAAGTGAGTAAAATATGAATTATATTCAACAAGGAAAAACTGCACCACAAAGCAAAACTTGCATGGTTGATGCAAAAGCAAACAAGTCAATGCAATAGCTTTTCTTCTTATCCCCTCAACATTTTTTGATGAAATTATATGCCTTTAACCCATAACCTGTACAAACCCATTGATTACAAACTACTGAATTACAACCTGACATCTATCCACCGTATTAAGATAACTTAATTGAAACTTTAACCAGATGTTTAGGCCATTATAAATTCCACAACACATGAAACTCAAAAGCCACCCCCTCATAGATCCTGTAGTCAACACCTCTTACCTGTAGCAATTGTAGAAGTGCAAGCCTCTGTTTGGGTTGATCAGCTCTAACCATGAACCTTGAGAGTGCGATGGTGTGGTCATTGGATTCCAACCCACATTCATCACACTCATCTACCATCTGCTGTATCTCATCTTCTAACTGTCATGGTGAAAAGATAAACAGCATTCTATTTGGAACAATTCTGATAACTACCTTCAATATATACAGGGCATCAATCAAGTCAGGCCTCCACACTATTATTTATTAAAGTGATTCATTGCAGGATCTCTAATGAATTTTAGGGTTGTAAGCACTGGTTCTGTTTCAAAATCTAGAACTTGTTTGGATCCATCCATGAGCCCCAGACTACAGTCAGTGTCGAGTTCCGATTTAGTAACAATACAGAATAGAGTATAACATTTACTAGGTTATAGGAAGAGTTGGATCAATACATTTTTCTTCTTCTGGTTCTTACATACTTGCCTAAAAATAATACAAAAAGTGGAACCAAAGGTGAAAAAGTAAGTTGAGGGAAAGCAATATGCCATGAGATAGGAGATATCAAGCAAATAATTCAGTTATTAGTAAATTTTAAGTGTTTATAAAAAACAGTTACAATATATGAAAATATGCAAAGAAGAGGTATTGGCTCACCGTGATATCTGTGAAAGCTTCTTTCCTTCGTTTCTCTCCGAAACTGCCTCTTCTCTTAGGTGTTGTATCTTTGCCTTCCTTCTGTTTCTTCTGTTTGCCAATCACACCCCTGCACTTCTCAGATCCACACAGACACTTCTGAGCTTCTTGACTGAGAAAAGATAAATCAAGGGTATACTTCAACAGCCTCATCCGTAAACTAGATATCTTAATAAAACTTTATGATAACAAAGTTGTTCAGAATTCATGACCGAACTTGGACCTTAAAAGCCTTCAAATCAATTACGCAATCGTGTTTGTATTCATGAAACAAAAAGGAAAAACACAAAGGAATGGATAGTTCTCCAGCAGACTAACGTTTAAACCTGGTATATCATTAAATATCAAAGCATATAGTGTTGTCACATGTCTTGCTCTCGATCCTAGAGAATTAGAGACTCAGATAGATATTGCCCTTATAATGGTCAGGCAATGTGATTTTAACATTCTGTACAAGGCATTTCACTTACCCATAAACTTCAAACTGGTAGTCAAACGTAAGCTCTTCCCCAGGTTTGACTTGCCTCTTGGTAAAGAATCCTACTCGAAGCTGACCATTCACTGTCCACTACAAACAAAAAGTTTGAAAACAAAACAAGTTAAATGTAGAAGACAAGCTGTCATCTCTCTTCTTAAGGCACATTTTTAACTCCAACATAGAAGAGGCCCTTCGATACCAGGAATTTGCACAGCATCAGACAAATACATTTGTGTTACTATATTCTAGCATAAAGGATTAAACATACACATCTCCTATATGTTCGTCGTCTATCAGTACCATCAGTAATAACAACTAAACTAACCATAAACCTGCTTACACAAGTTGTGTACCTATTCTACTTCATTTCAACTATCGTCCTTAAGTTATGCAACAATTTAAAAGGGATTTAAACACAATAAACAAAGGAGACAAATCCACAATATAACATTTTTACAAGGGGTATATATACCTTCTGTGTTTCACAGTTAGGATCACAGCTGTGGTTCATGAATCGAGATACATTCCCTTTCTCGGTAGCATCGATGATCTGCAAAATAATGGAAGATGTTGATTAAAGTATTAAGCATACATTTAGCACATCTTCAAATCCTATCATAATAATATTCATGTGATTCATAAGGTTCATCTTAATTGTCCATTCAGCGACAGGAATTTGTTGCATTTAAATGGTATATGGATACATAATAGAAATATACACAAAGAGACAAATTCAATAAAGGATATTTTGGGTAAACAGAAAAATTGACTATTCTAATTAATTTGATCTCCCGGCAGTTTGCCATGGAATATCACTTTTATTTAAATGAATAAAAGTGATTCTAATTAACAAGGCTCAATGGACAAAGGGCCTAAAGTTGGCAAAAACAGACTATCATTTGAAGAAGAAAAAAAACAGAATGAAAAAGCTGCAATTTATTGTAAACCTCACATAAAAAACAGTTTGACTTTCAAATAATCAGAAAAATGCATATTTATGACCTACTTTGATGTAGGTGGTAGCATTTTTTCAAGAGTACCATCGACAGTTTGTAATCATGAAGCAATATTTACAACCTGAATTGACCACTATTACTCACCTCATCTGACTTGAGCGCCATGAAATAGAAGTGAAGGTTCTTGTCTTTGCTGTACTGCTTGGCTCGATGTTTGAACTCATGGAAGTTTAGCACCTCTCCAACATATTCCATCACAAACTCATTACTGATGAAAGAATATTACAAAATAATGATGAAATGATGTGCATCGTACCCTGTTGTAAATACCAGATTCTAGTATAACTCATCATTTGTTATACTTTGCTGAAAGACTCCACATCTATTAAACAAATATCTTCAGAACAATATGCTTTGATTGAGATTTGTTCAAACAAAATTACAAGATTGGGTCGTAAATTATGACATCTGCAAACAAATCAATCTCACCAGCCTAAACATTGTTACTGATTCATGCAACATAAAAAGAATCAATAAAAACTGCTGACAAATTCCATGGTTATTTGTTATCATTTCCTATCTTGAACAGAATTTATTTATCTGGAATTCATTTCACATTAGGAAAGGCTAGATGTGGATGAGATTTGACTTGGTGAACTTACTCTTTCAGTTCTTCTTTAGCTTTCAAACCATGTCCCTTTTCTTCGGTGTAGAAGACTCCTACTCTGGCATTCTCTCTCTAAAAAAAAATGTAACACATCACATCAACGATCAAAACGTGAAACCATATTACTTACTAATCATTCAGGAGGTACTTTATCACTGCAATCTGCAAGATTATAGTTTTATTCTGAGCAAAAGTAAATGTTGCATTTCAATAAACATATTCGTGTATCATAAATTGAAGAAAGGTCAGAACTTACTTTTTGGAAGCGCCTGTTGGTACAGTAATCTCCACATGGACATCGTGAACCACTGTTAGGTAGAAGGAAAAAAACAGAGGTAAGTATATTTGTTAGCAAGCCTCTATAAAAGAAGAAGAGGTATTCTCTATAGTGATGACAGGAAATACTGTTTTGCCTAATACATCAACTTTAAATGGAAATATCGCGATGAGTCTAACCTCCACAATAGTTCTCAGATTACATATCAGAGTCAATTTTTTGTGTCGACAATACATTAAATGTAAATGGTCAATCCATCCATATTTTCATCCCAAATCTCCCAAATAAAGGACACTAAACAGCTACAGATATTTTGTTTGTATAATTTTGGAGCATGAATGTGACACTTTTAAAAGCATAATTGTTTAACAGTCTCACACAGACAACATGAAAACATGCCTTTAATATGTGATTATTAGACGATAAAGATATTTATTTATATATTTATATTGATAACTTTCTACCACCTCCTTTAATGATTCTCCCAGGTTCCCAAAAGAAAGACTTACCATTCCAGCATGAGGACTCTGTTGAGACAGTCTTCCCCACAAGCCTGGATGCCACGCCTTCTTTCCTCTCTAGAGGTAGCACAGCAGCATACCATTCTCCTCGCTTCCTTACCGGCTTTTGATCTTCGCCTGCAGGATAGACACATAATAGTAAGATTAAACAAGAACTTATGTTTGAAGTTTGATCGTTATTTTACGAATAATTAGAGGGAAGAGTATATTATTGTATATTCTCAAACGAGAATTATGAAGTAAAATGAAAGAGTATGACTGGCGAATTTGCTGGGAAAGCCATCTGGGCTTTATTGAACAAATTACATCAGAGTGGCATTTTGAAAAGGTCACCCCACCTCCTTCTATAGTTGAACATCAAAGATGAGCTCTTTTAGTGGTAGAACACATTTACAAGATAAAATATGCCTGGGTATGTATATATCACTTACTGAGAAACCAAGATACATCTTTGACTTGGTTAAGGAACAAGATCCATCAAAACAGTACATGGTAACATTTTATCATGAAGTTGAGGGGCCTGTTTTATCAGAGGGCATCATTACGAGTGATTTTATGCTATTAAAATAAATACCTTTCTGTCAGGTAGTAATTCTCGTTCAACTCCACAAAGCGGGGCATCTTGCTCCTCTCAACGATTCCCCACTCGGCATACTGCAGCCTCCGCCTCTCTTCTCTACTCTCTCGTGTTTCCTCCTTTGGCCTTTCCCTCTCCTCTCTCTTTCCTCCCTCTGCCCAGTACTCGTCCTGCGGTATATTCTCCTTGTCCTGCCTCGAGTGTCTGGACTTCTGTTTTTGTCTCCTTTCTTCAACCCCTCCCTCACCATCATCGTCGATCTCTCCTTGCTCCATGCCCGTAATATCATTACATGGTTTCTCCTCAGACTCCTCCTTGATATCAGAATCCAGTTCCCCTTCTTCCATGGAGTCCTCTCCTGCCCCAGGTTGTGGTTCCGTAACCTCTCCTGCATCTTCTATTTCTTCATTGATGATACCTGCCTCATGGTTTTTCGCAATATCCTCAAGCTTGATCTACATGAGAAATTGGGTAATAAAGTGTAAACCACGAAAAACACTTAAAATAACACTCACTCCAAAAATTGCAAGTGCACATACTTTTAAATTTCATATTTACCTTTCCTTACGACACATAGTTTTCCTTCCAACAGCGATCTCAATAAAACAAAATATACAATTCAAATTTTGAATAAGATTTGGCCTTATTTTTTAGTTCCCTATTTTCATTTTCTTATATATTCCAAATGCTAATCATTGTATATATCTTTGTATTGTTTTGAATGTATGTATTGAAAATGGAAATGAATAAAACGAATTGAATTGAATCAAGTTCTTGAGGACTGTATTAATAAAACCTCTCAAGTCAAACTAAGAAAGTATATCTTCTGATTAGCTAAACTTGCACGATGATAATAAATTTCTTCACTCTTCACCATGAATATTTCAAGTGAGACTTACCATTGCCTGATTATCCCCTGCACCATTCACCTCCAGGTCAAGTCCAGATGACAGGTAGGTAGCTTCAGTCTTGCCAATGACCCATGGATCAAGTGTCGTGTTGTGAGTACTGTTATCATGGCTTGATTGATCTGCAGTTGCAATAATCATACGATCTAGATGTACCCTCACTCTCTTTGATGGGGAGAAGGTTTCTTCTTCTAACTTGGGCGAGTCCACCGACTGCTCTTCTATGTGGCTTTCAACATGTGCAGATTTGCTTTCTTCTGGAGTGTTCACTTCAACTCTGGATTCCTTTATCTGGTGTTCCTCTGTCTGTGGCTGAAATACTGAATTACTGGACACGTTGATCATGGATGGATCTCCTTGTGGGGTTTGAACTACACTAACATCCATCTGACTCAAAGTTGGTGGTTTTACGGGGACCTCTGGAACAAATGCCGCCCATCTAGACTTCCTTTTACGTTTACTACCTACAGGTCCCTCTTGGATAACATGTTTAGTTGATTGTTCATTGACTGCAATAACAGGTTCTTGAGTACTGGAAATTTCTGTGCTTTCTGCAGAAATAGGAGGTACCATCTGAGTGGTTATATCATCATGTTGGGCAGATGGGATGTCTGATGATGGCATGGTATTTGTTTCCACAAGTTCATCGTGATTTATGGCAGATTCTTTGTTAAATACTTCAATGGTACCCTTTTCAGAAGGAAGAGATTTATTTACAATATCAATGGAGGGCATGATCATCTCATCACTGACGACAACTTCTGAGGAAGCTTTGGCTTCGTCTGCCTCCTGGACGGTTATATTTTGATGACTAGTACTGTGGTCAAGAACGATTGTTTCAGTGTTAACATCAGGATCTTGGGAATCACTGATAGGTGGTTGTGCAGGCTGCGACACTGATGTCACTTCTTCCAGTAACATTACAGTAGAAGTCTGGTCACATATTGTCTCCTTAACATTATCTGCAATTTTATCTGAAACATCTTGAATGGAAGTATTCAAATCGGACTCTTCATTTGGTAAATTAACAGAGATCTTTGAAGTTTTATATGATGTGCCTGCCATTAGGTCAATGATTTCCATTGACATTGCATCTTCAGATTCAGACTCGGTTTTGCTAAAGTCAGATGTCTTCACCAGTGAGAGACTTTCCACATCGCTTTGTTCAGTTTCAAATGATGTATTTATCTCACTTTCTTTCTCTTCAGTACTTTCCTCAGCTTTTTCGGAGCGAACTTGGTAACAGGATTCATCGGGAGCTGGCACTATTTTGATCTCTGGAACAATCCGTGTTTCATGGATAATAATATCTCTGTTCTCCTGAAGACGACCATTTTGGCTCTGTTTCTCATTTCCATCAATCTCTGATCTGGTCTGTTCCTCTGGAGCAATTGGCATTTCTTCAGAACAAGTTCTACTGTTCTCCCGAGGACTAGGACTAGGACTATTGCTCAACTGTACATCAGTATCAGTATCTGTACCTTCCTCATCTGGTATATGTGGGGGTGAAGAAACTACAATAGTACTGACATCATGCAGTTGTTCCTCAACTTCCATGTCAACATCCATGTCAACATCATCACTCTCTTCTTGTTTTGGTGAATCATCTTCTTCCTTTCCTTCCATTACAAAATTATCACTTTCCCCAGTTGTATCCAGTACAATTTCTGTCTCAGCTTCAGTATCAGTGGAAGAAAATGCATTTGCCAAGAGTTCCATTTCAACTTGGCTTTCAAGTATATTTTCAGGATAGAGACTTGGGGCATCTCCAAGACCCATCAAACTCAATTCTGCTCCACTATCCGATTCTGATTCTTGATCTATTTTGAATTCCTTCCTTAAAGTATTCTCAAACAAATTTTCTTTATTTTGGCTGCTTCTGGCTCTGGTTGTGCTTGTTTCAGTATGAACAGAAGATAATTGATCAACCTTGTTTTCTTCCAAAGGTTCTTCCACTGGACAGCCTTCTCTACTCTTACTGCGGGTAACAGGAGGAGCTTGATCTTCTTCTGATTCTGTATTTGAAGCTGTTGGTTCCTTCTCATCACATAAAGTCTGTAATTCTGACAGTGGTTTATCTTCATCCTCATCCTCTTCAAATACTCCGCCCTTTGCCTTCACAGCACTACGAGTACTCCTTCGAACTGCCCTTGAAGTGAAATTGAATTTGATAGGTATTCTCCCAGCATTCTTATCGGAGGTATCTTTTTTGGAGTTTTGGTCCTTCTCTTGAATAGTGTCACTTTCCGTAATCTTTGAATCTGCTTTGCTGTTTCCTGGTAACTGGTCACCTTCTCTTTCATCTGCCTTTTGCGTTTTCTTCTCAGCAGTTACTTTGGTTTCCTCCTTGGTCTGATCTACATCTTTCTTCACATCTTTATCATCCTTTTCCTTCCTTCTCCGATCAACCCTCTCCCTTGAGACACTTCTTTCATTTCTTCGATCGTCTTCCCTGGATCTCCTGTCGTCTGTTCTGTCCATGCTTCGCCTATCACTCCTTCTCTGCCTACGTCCTCGATCGTACCTGTCATATCTGTCGTCATCATCTCTATACCTTCTTCTTTCTCTGCTGCCACTTCTTCCTCTCCTTTCTCTGCTGTCACTCCTACCCCTCCTCCTCCCCTCTCTACTCTCATCATCAGAGTCATCCCTACCGTATCGGTCTCTTCTCTGTGAACGTCTCCTAGTATCCATTCTAGTTCTGTCTGACTCTGTTCTACTTCTATCAGAGTCTTTTCTCTTTTCATCATCAGAATCATCTCTGTATCTTTCACTTCTCCTTGATCTTCTTCGGCTGGAATCATCATCCTTTTTATCACTTTTGTGATCAGCATCTGTTTTATTCTCACCAGAGTCTCTCCCTGCTCTCCTGCTTGATTGTCTTGTGCTCATCCTACTTGAATTGTCTTCTTCCTGTTCTGATTTTTTTTTTGTTTCTTCCTCATCAACTGACCCTTTTTGCACTTCCTTTGTATCTCCATCCTTTTGTGCCCCTAAATCCTCAGTTTTCTCAACAGTACTACTTTCATCAATTTCGGTATCTCCTTTCGGTTTGGTGTCTTCAAGTCCAGTACCTGACTTCACATTTTCATGCGAAGCACTCTCCTCCAGTACCTTTTCCACTTCACCGGATTCCTCCTTTTTCGTCTCTCCTTCCAAACATTTTGATTCTACACGCTGAATGTCATTGTCCTTTGAACTATTAATACCACCATCATCCTCGGGGGCATTTTCAGGTGTTCTTCCTATGGAATTAATGTCACCACTTGTATTTTGATCACTTTCAAGTTCATTGTCACTAAGAGCAACTGCAGGTGAAGTCATACCCGATACTTCAGATGTGTCGGTCTGACTCCCATCCCCTGAATGCAGAAATTTCAGGTGTTCAACTTCACTCTCATCATTCCATTTATGCTTTGTTGTAGCCATCAACTTTTCGTCGACTGGAAAGCTTTTGAAGTCTTTGATAACATAATCCTTCCTGAGTACGCCCAATCGCCATTCAACCAGGGGCTTTTTGTGCTTGCCATGCGAGTGTTTTTTCTTTTTTTCCTTCTTTCTCAACCATTCTTCAGGAAGGAGATTTTCTTGTTCTGATTTGTTTCCACCTTCATTGTTAAAAACATTTTGAGCTAGTGTTGCATCCGTGTCTTCGCTAGTTGCAAGATCCCCTCCCTTTTCAATTTGTCCATGATTATCAGAGCTACACGTAACTGAATCTAACTGGAGTTGAGGCATATCAGCTTCCACTTCTGATACCTCTGTCTTAGCTTTGGCAGAAACACCAGAGTCCTGTAAGACCATTGGCTCATCGGTGGGCTGCTCGGGCTCATAGGGAGCAGAATCTTGAAGTGAGGGACCCTTTGCAGTCTTGTCATTGACAACACAGGTTTGTTGGTCAGGTGTGTACACTTCTTCAACTGGAGTTGGTTGGTCTGGTTCATATGCTTCAGGTGATACAGTGGTCTGTTCATCTTTGGAAGGTATCACTGGTGATGTTGTTGGCTGTGCTGGTTCATAGGGTTCTAGAGAGGTGGTCGGCTGGTCAGGAACATATGCATCTGCCTCTACTGCTTGTTTTGGTTCCTCTCCCTTCTCGTTCTGTTGGGTAGTGTCTTTGGTGTCTGAACCAGCTCCTTCAGTTGAATTAAGCTGCATTAGTTTTTCAAACTCTTCCATCTCCTTTGCCAAGATATTAGGATCTGGATGCGGGCTGGCAGCCTTAGGCTTCGCTCCAAGAATACCCAGTTGATCCTAAAACAGAGAAAGGAGAGGAAAGGGTACATGCATTTCTAACAAAAACACCACATACAAAATGAGTTTACATGTATCTAACTGTCGTTGTAGCCCTAAAAGGATGGGGGGGGGGGGAAGAATTTCCCCTTGCTACGATACATCCCCTAATAAATTTATTTCAGTCACAAGCTTCAATAACTTCATCACCTTAAATCTTATGCATCTTTTGATACCATTTTTATATAAATTTGACCAAAGGGTACTGCACAGCAGCAAAAATGAACAATTCCCTTATGTATTGTACAAATAGCAAAATTGTCACTTTGTGAATAATTAGCAATAATAAAAAATAAAAAAACATTTGAGACATACACCTGTACATTAAATATGAAACATCATGGGCTTATTCTTTATGAGATCCCCCCCCCCCCCCTCCTCTACAGAGAGAGCACCAAAATAACCTGGACTTTTTAGCGTTAAACCAATACAATACATGTCCCCCCCAAAAAAGGATCATTTATCAGAGTACCGGTAAATAGGCAGACTTTAGTACAATCCACAATCTTTAATGTGTATGCCTCAAATGTTAACATTGTTATTTCTGGTCACATGGCCTTTGACCTCTAGGCTACATTCTTTCATTCTTTATCTTGTCAAACACTGTCTTATGAGTTATGACTATGCATACTATTACTTGTACAGTTTCTAAATAGCACTCATGTTTCTTAAATTTTGACAAGTCAACAACAAAAAACCTCTAAACTTCTGCAAAATGAACTGCAAAATGAACTGCAAAATTAAATATGAATTTTCCATTTTATTTTCTTTGTTTAAGAAAACATGAAATTGGGTTTAATAATAAAGAGTGCAATTTAAGTGTTAAAAATTCAAAAATTATCCTGTAAAAGATTTGGGTTGGAGACCACGATTACTGTGCGTGTAAGTGAGGTGGGCTATTAACATCACTAGTGGTAGGGCACTCTTGCTAGCAGGCCCTGCGCGAAACGTGTGGCTGATTCATCAAGACAGCTTTTCCTACTAAAATGCTTTTGTGATACACCTGAATAATAATGGTTTTCCTTCGAATCAGGGTCTCATTGCTTAAACAGGTTGGCCATTGATGACCTGATAAATTCCTACATGTGACCCAACAGCACAGGTCTTGCATTTATTTTGTACCTAAACTTGGCTGAGCAGGTCATCAAAAAAGGATAGAATATCACATTCTACATCAAGCAAATTTTCATAGCACAGTTCATTCTGCAATAAAAGACATTTATGACTATCTTTTGTTGGATTCTTGTTTTTAAAAGTCCATATGGTGAATTTCTCCAAGAGTTTGGCTTCTCAAACATACATGTACGGTAATGTTCGCAATAACAATATCAAATTTGTGATCACAATTGCAAACGTGAGCACACGTGACATTAATATTATTTCTAAAATAGAAATTCACGATTATGAAAACAAAAGTGGACTTTTAAAAATAAGAATCCAATAAAACATAGTCCTAAATATCTTTTATTGCAGAATGAACTGTAGCATGAAAATCCACCTGGTGTACACAAAGTGAAATTCTATCGATCTTTTTCACCACCACAAGCCCAAGTTTTAGGTGTATGATTTCAAAGCAAAGTCTATACTGTACACCGGATGAGAAGAAATATATCCAGGCTCTGATGATCACAATCAGGGCCTGATTTACAAACTGGAACGATTTGGGTCTACTGCTATGCTATTACTCATCTCTTCCCAACATCCTGGACTTCGCTCGTTGTTTCAATCACTAGTTTGTATAATTAAGCACACAATGCACACATCTGTGACCTCCTGAACGGTTCTGATAAAGCTCTCTTTTGGGTTCAATTTGCATTTTCATTTCAGAATTAAAATAGTTTATCTAATAGTTGCTACTTCTTTCTTCTTTTTCCACATATTCACAAGCACTGCCACGCAATTCATTTGTATGGAATATTATTATTATTATTATTACATATACTGCGCTTTTCCCATAAGGCCCAAAGCGCTCACAGTTATGCCTCTTGATATCAAGAATTACCATTGCTTTACAACAGAAAATCATTTCTTGATATCAAGAAATAGGAATAAATGTTAAAACAGCTTGCCATAAATACGCAGCATTACGCAAGCCAAGTACGCAAAGGTGTGACCGAGGCATAAAAGACAATTACATAAATACATTGACTTACCCCCGTTTCGTTGACCTCTTGGGCTTTCCTGCTGCTTCTCAGCCATCGCCTTGTAGGGATGATTCTGAAAGGCTCCATGGTGATCTCTAACCTTTCCTATCCAGTATCAGAATGTCTAGTACCACAAGTCCGTCAAGCACCTCATCTTCCTTCAACAAGTCACCACGCCTCTGACTGCAGGCAAGCGCTGGAAAATGAATTACAATGAGGACATGAGATATACAGCAATATCATTCCGCTTTTTATAAAATGAGGAAAGGGTGCTTCGTTTTTGACGTTTTGAATTTTTACAAAATGGTTACACATTATACAAATGCTAGGTAATCACTTTGACGCAAGTTACCAAAATTAAATTTTATAAGTCCATGTGCTGAAAATACAGAGGCTAAAAATAATTTAAGCTTGCATGATATCAAACATTAATGACTAGTACATGTATAACCTTGTCTATATTTCTACAAATTCATTATTTATATTACAAAACAAAAACATGATTAAAATCATCACTCCCCTTTTGATCATGGAGGAGGGAGGATATGAGAATAATAAATGAGATACATGTATATATACATAAACATGTATATACATGTATATAAACTAAATAAGAGTTCTTTAGACTTAAGATATATGGCTATGCAGCAACGATAGATAAGACAATGCTAAAAATAACCTCGACGTACAAGTAATAGTATCATGAAAATATATCCCCATGTTTGATTTACACCTAAGAAGAATGATGTCCATGCCTCAAACAATTCTCAATCTATTGAGACGACGAGAAAGCGGGATGGACAGGCACACAGTCAACCGGAAAATGAAAATGCCACTGGCACCTCCTTTATTGGCAGAGGCATAGAAAGACCTCCTGCAGGCAACATAAATAACTTTGTACATATGATTTACCAAGCCACAGTGTCACCTACATAGTTGGACACATCTACCCTTGGTTGAAATTTTCAATTCTTCTGGAACTGTAACCTTTATGTCCTACTTCAAATACTGGAAAATATTTGAAATATTTGAATTACTAAAAAGAAAAAAATTACTCTGTATTATATCTCCCACTCAATGATGATTGAGAAGTAATGAGCCCCATCCAACAACAAAAAAGGTGACTGTTCAGTATTCAATCTTGCAGAAATTGATGAAAGATATCAAATTAAAATCCAAGGACATAACACTTGGTTAAATTTATGCATGATCAAAACTGGAAATCATAGTCTCTGTAACAATGGCCTATGTATGTATATCAAAAAGGAATCCACATGAAGGTCAAAGTATGTTCCGCATCCTTCATCCTCTATCAAAAAGACATTGCTGCAATCTGCTTTTGCCAATCTTTGCAGCTAAGACTTTATTTTACAGCATGTTCTAGAGCCATACATGTACAGTACATGTAATTCAGACTATTTCCACCAAAATAAGACCTGAAGTCTCGCCAATAATCATTATTTTTAGATCTTGTATCGACAATAAAGTCTCGCCAATAATTATTGTTTTCAGATCTCCATATCGGCAACAAAGTTTCACCAATAAATATTTTTTTCTTATCTCGAGTTCGGAGACGCCGATGTATTTCATTTCCCCATCATTTTTAAATCATGACAGATCGTTTTTGAGTGTGTGTGTGTACGTGTTTTTGGAGTTCTGTTTTAAGCCTCTTTTCATGATCATGATAAAAAGACATGTCTTCATTGATATGACTAAATACTTGAGAATTTACATAATTTATGTTCAAATACTTGTATTTTCATAACAGTTACCGTATTTGCCGGCGATAAGGCCGCAGCGCCGCAGAGGCCGCACCCCAACTTTGACATTTCAAAGAGGAAAAAAAATTCGTGCTGGTTTTGACTTGATTTTTTTTTTTTAACTCTTTCGCCGTAAAGGCCGCACCCCGACTTTTTTATGTTTTCTTTTCCAAAAAATACTGCGGCCTTTACGCCGGCAAATACGGTAAACAAAAAACGCTTGTATACATTTAACGGTTAAACGTTTAGCACAAAACCCATGGGCCCGAATTCACAAAGGAGGTTTGTCGACAAACCTTGGTTTTCGTACGTCATATGACGCGTTTTACGCGTTTTTTACAAACCTGGTTTGTAAAAAACAAAAGGAGGTTTGGCGAAACAAAAGGAGGTTTGAGCTCAAACCTTGCTTTGTGAATTTGGGCTTTAATGATTCAGGATGTTATTGCAAAGAGAAAAAAACAGAAATAAAATTAATTCAACGCCTCGGAACACCAACAGCGAGCTGCAAACATGTCGTTTATTATGTTTCTATTTTGTTCTCTGGAACGGTACCGTCTGTTCCAGCTACGCTACCGGTAGTGCTTATAGCTGGATCATCAATTTCATTCAATAAATATTGCACCATTCCAAAGATTTAGAGTTTATTTCTTGAGTGCTATAAAAACCAAAGTTTTATTCAATTCATGTACCGATGATTATGAACTCATAGCATTCAGCAAAATGAGTACTCATATCAAACCAGCTAAATCATCTGCATGGTCATCCATACCTGTCAATTGGTCGCATTACACGAACTTTCATGAAACGAAAACGAAAGATTATGTTCAATTAATCTATAAGGACGCGACCTTTCATATATTTGCCGTAGTGTTTTCACAAAGTGTGGGGTAAATTGGTCCGGACCATTTGTAGACTAGAGAGATTTATTTCACAAAAATTACCCCCCCCCCCCCATTTTGTGAATAAAGGGGCATGTTTTCACCAAATCAAATGCTGAGCAATGCGACCACCGGACTCGATGCGATGACCTGATGATTTAAAGTAAGCCCATCTACCGTAACCGTGAGGCGGAAACATGTACATGTAGATCCATCAGACTATGGAAATCGAAGTCTAAATACTATGCATTTGATTGAGGGCCTAAAACAATGTAAATGTTCACTACATTACTTTGTAGACTATGATCTATAAATAACAAGTTAGAGGTCCAGAAATGAATAGACAATTTCCTTTTATTTTTAAAAACAATGCTCCTTCAAACCAAAGAAGATCTCTAGTCTTCAGGTCTTACTTAGTTTCAGAGCACAAAGCTGCCAAGACAATCCATCGAATAATGAACAATATCCCAGAAAATGTGGTACTTCTCATAACAAGTGTGTCTGGACACATCCAAAACACGGCCAGGGACAACACAAATAAACTACATGGCCGTCAATAATGCCATGCCCATGCACGGTCGCCATTTGCAACCCACCAATCTCACAAAATACCATGAATGTACAGACAAGACCAACACGACTGGAACTAAATTTCTGTCTCATGTTTCACATAAAAATTACATAAAAATAGGCTGTAATAATGTGCTGATAATTATGGAACAACCTATATTCCAATACAACGGGATTTTCGTTTGATATTGTTAAGATAAGTTTGAAGTGTACAACAGTTTTCGGAACAGAACCAGCACAAGCGTCATCTCGCAGCATTGCGCACATTACCTTCGCCCAGAAGTTCGGGCGGAGGTCATGTGCGCTAGATGCCGATGGGTCCCGTACTACGAGGATTCCCCGCCTATACAATACACACGCTAGTTCCGTTGCTGTGTGTATACATGTGGAGTAGACGCGTGTGTATATCAACGAGAGAAGTCTTTAAATCCCTACACCTGCAGTGCGAGTACCGCAGTCTGTTCGACGAAAGTACTTTCGAAACACTCTTAATAATACACAATTTGAACTACACACTTCCTGTAAATATAGGAACACGAAGTAAAAGTATCCTTCCCTATGTAGACGATACCGCAGAAAATTCCCCCACCACAAATCCGAGAAAAGACGTTCACAAACCATCACTACACGTTCAGTTTCGTGTCAGAAATAACCTAAGGAAAAAACAACATCGGAGACTCTGAATGCAGATTCTCAGTATCGGTGCATTTAATTGAAGATAACCACGACAAACCGATGTTTTTAACTTTTAAAACACCTTGAAACAGAATGAAACTGTTATCAGAAGTATAATTAAATACTTACTCAACAAGGCACAATCCTGGAAGGTGATGTATAGGCCCTGGTTTGACTTGCTTTTCGGACAAATTGCACACGCACCGAAATTCTCTTACGGAACATATAATCACGTGATAAGTATACCGCGGCAGTGCAGCGAATACATCGTCGATCGACATCCACACACCCAAGCAAAATTCGGACTGCGGAGAAAAATAATTGACATCTTTCGAATAATACCACTCGGGTCTCGGACTTGATAGTTTATCTAACTATTGCATACATTATCATCTTATAAATTGGCCAAATAGATTGTATTAAACAACAAAATACCAGTATCCCTTTGGAGCTCATTGACAGTAAAGGAAAGGGAGAAAAGTGTGTTTTTCCCCTCAAATAATTAGCATCAATATTCCAAGAGTTTAGCCTTGCATTGTGTCACATCACCAGGGGGTGGGGGGAGGGGAATTGATCTGTATCTGTTCACTTTTCTGGAAATAGTCGGGACTATTAAGACTCCACTTCCTTGGGGAAAAAGATTCATCTTTTTTTCCAAAGGATTTTAGCTGCATCTCAGTGTTTTCCACAAATGGGAAAAGAAAAGAAAATATTTTGGAAATGTTAGAATCGAACCAGTTTTTTGAAGCAATTAAAATAATCAAAAATTGTTTAGGAATTATTTTTTAAGTAAAGGCTCACTACTGCTGTACATATTGGCTTAAATTCATTGTTCAAAATTTAAAACAGACATACCATGTGTGACAAAACAGGTCTATTCATCCATATACCGGTAGACCAAATGGGACAATACTAATGAGAATAATGTGATCCCACCATTCTATAATTTGAAATGTCTATTTCTGGACTTCATTTCTCCTCCAAAAAGGCAATTTGAAAAGGCTAGATCTTCCCTCTGGGTTTACAACTGTGGTAAAACATATACTACCAGGTGTCATCCAAGAAAACTGACAGCCCACAAGACCGACACATCACAGACACATCACAAAGAACTTAAGAAGAAAATATAGAAAAGAAGGAAGTAGCAAAAGGTCCAAGAAACTGAGAGCCAACAAGAAAATATCATTCTAGTGAGGCATCAGTCTCTTGGGCAGTCGGTCTAGTAAATCCTAAAATAAGTTGTCTTGGAGTCTATACCCCTGCCCCATCCTCCATCCTTGAAGGCCCCATGACAACATTTTTTAGAGGTCTATGACCTCAGATACATCTAAATCCAAACCTTTCTTGGGTGCCCTATAACAGGTCCAAGGGGTACCCTTTCATTTTGGTGTAAACACACTAAAAATTGTACAAGTACACTGCCTTCTTCTGCAGAGAATTTGTTGTTCCCCCCCCCCCCCCCCCCCCTCTGCTTGCCCATTTCTGGTTACACTACAGTCTTTGACTAATGTATGTTTGTGTAGAAAAGATTTAATGGGTTCCTTTGCTCATCAATATACTGAACTCTTTTTTCTTTCTTTCCAGAATTGGTGATTAATAACTTCATTCATTCATAAAGGGCTGTACTACTGCAAACTGGTATACAGCAGCATGGCAGAAAATAAATTTAGTAGTCATAGTTACACAGAACTGAGCAAATACAAAAACTGCAGAAGATATTACAATAAATCTTGTCATATATCTTTCTGGATTATTAAGTTCTCTCTCAAAGGTATATCACATCTTTGTTATCTTTCAGGCCCTTCAAATCAGAACTAGAAAATAATTAATTGAAGGGTTTTGAAACCCGATTTCCTTTGTATCCTAAATTTGTGGCTTACATCTGTAAGTATCTACAAGTATTGAACACAAGCTCTAAAATCTTTGCTATGGAATAACGTTTTTGAAAAGTTGTTGATAATACTTATTAGATCGGAAGCATGTTTTACTAAAGGGGAGGAGTGCCCTCTGCCCCTCCCTTGATTCAAAAGTGATGATGGCCAATGGGCTAAATAAGAATATATATATTATCTCACATTACTATTCACAGAAATGATTGTATTATTCTGATAGATCTTAAAATCAAGTTTGAGAATCCCCAAAGGAATACAATGTATCTGTACTTATAGTGAAGGACGTATACCCATAGCATATTTTGTAATGCTATGGCTTAGAAAGAAAGCCGATAACTGATAGTATGTAAGAGATCAACGATGCATCTCAGCTGCTGACTTTCTCTAAATACCAGCTTTCCATGATTCTCAATGGCGGCAAGCAGGCAAGACGAGAGTACTTTTTCATGTTATAGCAACAGCCACATAAGACAGAAAAATCTGTCTGACTGGAGGAGTTTGATATTATCTTCTGACTTTCAACACGTTGTCTCAGCAGAGCATATCCATGAACAAATAGTGTTTTTTTTACAGTCTATATCCCTATCAGCTTTCCATTTTCAAAAATGTAGTAAATGAGCAAGAGATTTTTGTTTATAAAGTTAATACTTTTTTTTAGATATTGTGACAGCCACTGATGGTGTATTTTATATCATATCATTTTAGGTACTTCATCTTTGAGGTGTATTCAACAAGACATATAGCATAACAAGGCCAGCACCTTTTTGCCCAGAAATGAGGTGATGCTCGCTAAATTTTTGTTGTTGAAAATTCTCAGGTGAGATGGATTGATGAGGTTGGGCAGAGGTTGTACCGTTGTACAATACTTGCTCCTGAGACAAACACTCCACATCAATCTCCTGCACTAACTAAATTTTGAACTTCAACCCTGGACTAAAAACTATACCTAACTTAACCTAACCCTAAACCTAAAGCTAACCTAAAACCTAATTGTCACCCTAACCTTAATATACAGTGAAACCTGTCTATAAAGACCACCCTTGGAAGACAAGAATTGTGGTCTTTACAGGCAGGTGGTCTTTATAGACAGGTTCCTTTAGTACAGGTTTCAATGAGAAACTATTTCAAAGGGAAACAAAAAATGTGGTCTTTGTAGACAGGTGGTCTTTCTATACAGTTGGTCATTACAGCAGGTTTGACTGTACCTATACCTTTCTTGAAACGAAACCCAGAGCAAGTGTCGCTGGATTAACTGTCAGATCACCAGGGCTGGGGTTATAGTCATTCTGCTGGTGCTGCTCTTGACAAAGTGTAGTAAATGAGTATCTGGCAGAAAGGAATACTGTATTATACGAGCACTGGAACTGGTAGCCTCACTGAAGCCATCCAGGTGATAACAGAGCAGCCTCAACACTCAGTGCACGGTGGATACTAGCGCTATACGAGAAGCAAATAGCAATATCATAAATCAGATTTTTAATTGTAATTTTTTATTTTTCCTTTATTCACTTCCTCCAAATTCTTTATTGAGCAGATAGGAAATAAACAGCTATTTGTCTTTCTCTAAAAAGTTGTAAAGCCATATCATGCTAATCTTGCAAATTCTGAAAAAGACCATGCAATTTTGGGAGACCCCCCCCCCCCTCCCCCCACCCCCAACAACAAAAATATCTTGTTGACTAGTGATATTTTTTTTCAAGAGGATTATTTTTTGAAGAAATGGGTGTCAATATGATTTCAATTGCCTGAATAAACACAGGTTTTATTTTGTTCTTCCTCCTGTTACTTTACATACATGGAATTCTAAATAAAAAATAAATATTTTGGAAAACGTCTATCTCCAACGGCAAACTGAAACACTACTTTTTCTTATTTTTGGGACCCTTTCCATTACTATAAACAAGTTTAAAGCAGCACTGCAGCTACTTGCGCCCTTTATACAGCCAACAATGCCAAAGCGTTACCCGTTGATCCCCCATGGTCCCTTTTTTTAATGAGATACCCACCTGCAAGTGACCAGGCAGGGAGGTCTAATCCCTCCTGGCCAAACTAGTGCAGACAGGCTTTAAAACCTTGTGATTGATGTAAAGTAAGGCAGTTTAGCTTTAGAGACAAGATCAGTATAAACAATTAATTCATATCAGATCTACATGAAGGTTTTAACAGTCGAGAATGATGCCTCCGCCATAGTGATTTTACAAACCAAAACAGAAGCAATTTTTAAAATTCAAGTTCAATTGTATTTGTAATCCATTAACAGGTTCTCAGAATACCATGATTACAAGCTATGTTTCATAATTATACATGTATGAACCTGTGATCTTTTCATTGGCTCTGCAAGATACATACATGTCTTGAGTTTGATGGTAATCTGTCCATCGGTTCTAATGATTATGCAATCAAAAGCTCTTTTTACATTCATAATAAGCCCATGACCTTTGACCTTTGTCTCCATGACCCCAACATCCGATCAGTACATTGGCTCAGCAAGATACATACATGTACAGAGTGTGATGGTAATCCTTTCATCGGTTCTAATTAAATTGTGATCACAGGTTATTTTTGCATACATGTACATAATGAGCCATGTGACCTTTGATCTTTAACCTTGTGACCCCAAAATCAAATCAGTTCATCGGCTCTGCAAAATACATACATGATCCAAGTTTGGCGGGAATCCATCAATCTGTTCTTGAGATAACGAGATCACGAGAACGGGAAGTACGGACGGAAAACATAATGCCTCTGACTACTGCAGAGGGATACAAATCTGAAAAACTGTTAGTTCTCGACAAGTTTGGCTGGGTGAATAGGGTATAAAACTCAGATACTATCGAAAATAAGCCTCTGTACATGGGACAGTCTAGGGTGAACATCAAGGTACAGAAGTCTGTAGACTATTATTATTATGTATTTGGCATCACCTGTGCCTGGGAACTGAATCACTGAGATCATCGAGTCTCTTCTCCCGATATTACTGACTGGGAGTGTGCAGGTGGACCACTACAACGGGGGTTCCCCATAATCTTATACGAATAGTGCAGTCGGTTTTTAACGTGGTGGTGACTCTCCTCTACATGGGGCCTCCATTTAATATCCTATCTGAGGGCTGGAGTATTTTCCACTGTATCATTGCTTACGCCTATAATTAATACAAGAGAGGGTCACTTGAACACACAGCACTGGCTTCAGTTATTAGCCTGTGTTGGCTTTGGATCACAATCTTTGGTTCAACAGGAAGATGCTTAACTGACTGAGCTAACTCGCCTGGACAGCAGGATAGCTTGAAAGATTCTCTGCAATCCTTTGGATGAAGGTCAAAGGTCACAACTTGTTGAGATAACATTGCATGATATACAACCACGCATGAATTATTTGGATAAAAAGAGTGAGAATCAGCATTTTATGAGGCT